ACACAAACAAACACACTACTACTACTACTACTACTACTACTACTACTACTACTACTACTACTACTACTACTACTACTACTATTACTACTATTACTACTACTACTACTATTACTACTACTACTACTACTACTACTATTACTACTACTACTACTACTACTACTACTACTACTACTACTACTACTACTACTACTACTACTACTACTACTACTACTACTACTACTACTACTACTACTACTACTACTACTACTACTACTACTACTACCTAGTCCTAAACCAGCTGCTACTACTACTACTACTACTACTACTACTACTACTACTACTACTACTACTACTACTACTACTACTACTACTACTACTACTACTAGTCCTAAACCAGCTGCTACTACTACTACTACTTCTAGTGCTGCTACTACTACTACTACTACTACTACTACTAGTGCTGCTACTACTTCTAGTGCTGCCACTACTACTGCTACTACTACTACTAGTGCTGCTACTAGTGCTACTACTGCTACTACTAGTGCTACTACTACTACTACTAGTGCTGCTGCTGCTACTACTACTACTAGTGCTGCTACTAGTGCTGCTGCTGCTGCTACTACTACTACTAGTGCTAGTGCTACTACTACTACTAGTGCTATTACTACTACTACTACTACTAGTACTACTACTAGTGCTGCTGCTACTACTACTACTACTACTACTACTACTACTACTACTACTAGGCCTACTACTACTACTACTACTACTACTAGGCCTACTACTGCTTACCACATTAAGTGATTTGTGAAATCAAGTTCCTCCATACTGGCACCACATGGACAGTGCTAGAGAATGAAGGCCTGTGGGTCAAGGAATGAACACTGTCTGCTCTGCTGCTGACCCCTGACCTCTCATCAATTAACATGAGCTTAGCACCCCAGGATAGCCTAGCTACGCATGGCGCTAAGGCTAGCACCCATCCACCCTAGCTCAATGCCAATTCATAGTTTAATTCTCAACACTCACTCCTCTGTTCACTCTAAAGGGGTCTACGCAAACGGAGCCGACAGAGGTTCCAAAAATTAAGCCGCGCAAATGTATGTACAACTACGTCTAGAGCGACGCAAACGGACCTCTGTCGGCTCTGTTTGTGTAGACCCCTTTAGGCGTCAGACTCAGACGAACGTGACAACACACTTTGAGTGACAGCTGCTTGAATGAACAAGGCTAGAGCCTTCTCTAAATAACCTCTGGTCTAGTTATCATGACAAGGTGTCCATAGTCCATCAATAGCCATATTTTCATTGTCACAGGGCACTTAGCAAGCTGCTTTAAAAGCCCATTCAGGCTAGCCTTGTTAAGCTGTGGGTAATGCAATGTAATAATTTAGATATTATGGCAAGATGCATTTAAATGTCTCAGTCCCAGGTGTGTGTTAAGTGAAACATACAGTATGCTATTGATTGATTAGCTCTGAAACAAACAATACGTCAGCCACTAAGTTTTGTGTTATGTTGCCATGCTGCAAAAACCTATACATTCAGCTGTGTGTGTTTCTGTGGGTGCGTTTACACTGGCAGTCCAATTCTGATCTTTTTTTTCACTAATTTATCTTTTGACCAATCAGATCAGCTCTGAAAAAGATCTGATGTGAAAAGCGCTGATGTGATTTGTCAAAAGACCAATTAGTGGAAATAGATCAGAATTGGGATGTGTGTGTGTGTGTGTTAGATGACACAATTCCAATGTCATTAATCTTGTACTTTGAGTGGTCACACAAACATGTTGACTCAGAAGCCTTAACGACATCTGAAATATATTTATTTAGGAGTAGCTTTTTCTAACCTAAAGCTCTAAGGTACCAATGTTACTAATGCATACACCAGACCAGGGTTGCTTCTGTTAAAAGCCTACTTCAGAGTTTTGATGTGAAATGTCTGACACTACTTTGAGAGAGCCAGACCACGCTATGCCTACGCATTTAAAAACTAACAAGACAAGTTGTTTTCCAGTCACAAGTCCACTAACCACCACCAGACAAACACATTCTCTGTGTCATGACAGAGCGTTTAGCTGGAACACATTTTATGGTGTGTTTTATTATACGGTAAACAATGTATAAAAAAAAAAGTAGTTCTTGACTCAGTTACCGGTGAGGTGTAACCATGGATACGATGTAAATCTCTGCAGAAAGTAGGACCATCAGTGCCTTGTCTCCTCGGTCTGCTATAGTGCACTGCATAGCATACTAAGGGGTTTGTTGAATCAAACTAGCTCACTATCTGAATGGTGAAGGGGTTGGACAAACAACATTATTTGGATGAGAACTTTGTTTACTGTGCGACGCGAAAAGAACTAGACTGCATTTTGATTTGCAAACACACACACACACACATTCTCTGAGGAAGAATTTTGGCCAAGATTCAATGTCAGCTATGATCAGTAACCAGCGTATGTCTCTATCCTCAGATTTTGGAATGTACCCCTAAGTAGGCTAATATTACCCACAGTTAGACTACATGGGACATGTATAGATTCAATAGCATGACAAACCCTCATGGTATGGAAGGAATGCTGGCTGTGGTTTTGCCCCCCCCCCCCCCCTCCCCTCAGAGCAAAGGAGATGGCCACGGGAAAGAGTGTTCTATGGGATGCATCTGTGAGCTCCTTTGAGCCCTGCGGGCCTGCCTGTCCTACTCACTCTCTCCGTTGGGCTAGCCAAAGAGGAAGCCACTGTGTGCATATGTCGTCCGTCCCCCTTCCCTCCCCATTTGACCATTGGAACGCTCCAGGGAACTTTAGCATTTCCATTCTATTCTGCTCCCCTGGAGCAACCAAACCACACCAGAAAGGGGGCGCCACACCTCCCTCATTATTCAAGGCATTTTTTATTGCCTTTCTTGTTTGTGGAAACCCTGAGTCATTCTTCCTCGATCTTTCACAAAACATGAAACTGTATTTTCTGGCTCTGGACCATGATGTAATGCTTTGAGGGTGAAATCCAACAGGGATGCACCACTCAGACTCTTTAGTCGTGCTGGGAAATCAGTCTTTGATTAGCATACTGTAACTGTATCAAGAGTCTTAGAGTAGGAGTGCTGATTTTAGGATCAGTTTGGCCTTTTTGATGCCAATTAATACAATTACATAGACGGGGGGGGGGATCTGATGCTAGGTCAGCACTCCTACTCTGAGATGCTTGATACATGCTGAGCTGTGTACTGCTGATCTAAAGTATTGCTCTTCGTTGAGTTGGTAGCAGTTCTGTTTATCCCTACACCTTTTTAGTGAGAGAATAAAAGGCTGCTCATTTGAGAGGGATATCCTAAACTCCCATTTGACTTTGGCTGCTGGTGAATAAAGAAACCGTGCTATACTTCCCTCCCCAACCGCCTGTGGGAGATTTAACCCTTTCTTCCTCTGTTGCTCATGTTGCTACACGTGACGCGCTGGATAACATCTGACCAATTAAGTGGCAAGAACAAGGTCATGGTGCCGTGCTAAAAGTCAGAGACGGAGATGATTTAAACACTGTTATGAAGTCGGCTAAATTAAGTCCAGAGCCGTGTGCTCTTCTTTCAGTTCAGAGGAGCCACTTTTCTCCTTTCTTCCCTTCTGGCTCCTGCCCCATGCTGCAGCTGACTCACGAATGTAAAATGTCTCTTCCTGCGTGGGTCTCCACTGCTTTCTTAGCTTTTCTTTCTTCTTAGATGGCCTTGTTGCTTCTATATGCTTTATTCTCCTTCCAAAGCCCAGTGTTTTTCTTGGATGTCTGAATAAGCCCTATTTGCACCATAGAGACTTCCTCCAATTGCTCCAAAGTGTATAAAGCAGTCGGTCTTCAGAGGGATCCCCACACTCTCACTTGTCACATTATGCAAGTAAGATGACCTGGTCTTATGCTGCCAACTTATTTGAGAGACTGTACCATTGACAGTATTTATGCTTGTGGTTATCGTGCCCAGTCAATGGCTTGTTCAAAGATATATGTTGAGGGATTTGAGTAACATAAATACTATTATAAAGGTAATTGGTTTTTATACACACCAAGAGAGAGAAGCTGTGATAGTTGCCACCCCCTCTAACGGAGTCAAACCTGCTTTGTAAATAACAGGTGTAAACTAACAGTGAAATGCTTCCCAACAATGCAGAGAGAAATAATAACATGAGGAATAAATTGCATATGACTAATTACATGTGCTAATTACTAAATATTTCCCATAGTGCTTATTACTGCTAATTGTCATCATGCTACGTCTTCTACAGCAGGAACATCTGTTAAATCATCTCTGAGCTTTAGCATATAGCCGTCCTTATTCTACGGATGGAAAAGTTTTATATTCCATGTGAAAAGAAAAACAGGACTCCAATTCTTTAGTTTTCACAGAGCGTTTTTTTAAAGACCTGATTTATGCTCACAGTGGTGTTTTGGTACATTCCATTCCACTCTGCTCTCTTCTGCCTCTCCCTAGTCACGAAGCTCCTAACTCTCTCCATGTCCCTTAGTCTGGGACCAGGAAGTGAACATGTCCAGTCGTTTCACAAGACCCCTGTCATTCTTAGGTACATTAGGTACTTTATGGTGGGATGCTGTTTAGACACCCACCTACTGTTAGACATATACACTCATATTAGGGATTCTACATACGCTGTTAGAATGTATAGGCCTGTTCCATGGTGAAAGTGTTATTTATTTATATATGTATATGTGTATAGATAGATAGATATAGAGCAGGTTGTTCCCATGTGACTTCCTCTGTACCATCTATAGACTAAGGCTGCGTCCCAAAAGTCAACCTATTCTCTATATATTGGACTATTTTAGCACCCTAATGGCACCCTATTCCCTACATAGTGTACTACGTTTGACTAGAGCGCCCCATGGGCCCTGGTCAAAAGTAGTGCACTTTCTAGGGTATAGGGTGCCATTTGTGATGCAGACTAAGACCTAGGCTACATTATCTGACCTTTATCCTCACCTTTGACCTTCTCCCCTCTGCCTCTCTCTCTCTCTTCAGGCACGCCCAGTCATGATTGTGGACAAGGGTCACCGTGTGACCGACTACTTTGTGGTGGCCGGGCTGACGGACAAGTCCACGCCACTGGAGCAGGACCTGTCGGAGACCAAGTCCAGCGGGCCCAAGGCGCCCATCACTGACCTGGCCGTCATCAACAAGTCGGCGGGCGAGACGGTGCCGGAGGGCTTCACCTGCATCGAGAGCACCTACAGTGCGCAGCAGGCCAACCTCAACCACGGCAGCCTTAAGAGCCCCGAGATATTTCTCTGCTACAAGAGGGGCCGCGACAAGCCCCCACTCACTGACATCGGGTGGGTGGGTGTGTGTGCTCTGCTGTGAACCCAAATGAACTATTCAAAGTGTGTGAGCACCACACCAGTTAAAAAAAGTGTTACACAATGGGATCATTAGGGTTAACTCTAAAACAGGAAACCATAACCTCTAAATCCCTTACTCTCCCCAATGTGACCAGTTACCAGAGTAGTCACCTCTAATAAAGCTGATAAGTACATATCGTTTAATACATTTCCACTGATAAGAGAGAAAATGGTAGTGGAAAGTTGCTTCTCGTGTGTTATTTAACCCCTTTGTGATATAGTGCTTGCTTATTATTTTGAGTGCTTATATTACATTTGACTGGGTTATTTGCTAGATTAATTGAATGCATCCCAATTTGTGAAGTAAATCATTTCATTTTCAGGCACTTTTCCTTTTCTATCTATTAGGGAAATAAACCCAATAATGTTGCGTTTTGGAAGAGTGATGCCTCCCGCTATACTGTAATTAGTGTCTATTTAGACTTTTAACCTTGAGCCGAGTGGTTTGTTGATGCCTGTCATAACGCGCTGTTCTCGGTTTATTAGATTGTTGAAATATTTGCTAGCCACATCTATCCGCTCTTCTTAGCCAAAACAACAAACTGGAGTTTCCAGTTACTTGGCTCGACTGATGTTTTGAAATCCTCAGTCCTGCTTTTGAACACACAAGTCTCTATAGCCCTCACTGATTAGAGTGTAAACAGCAGATCAGATATCAAGTGTTTCCCCAAAAATATAAAAATACACAACAGTCATTGAGAGGAGCCATAACCTTTTTTTAGGAAGGGACTGGTTTGGGGTTTGGGCACATACAAGTGTTATGAACTGCAGGCCTTGTTAGCTGTTGCACCATGGGATTGTTTCACAGGCTGACTCCGTAAAGGTTTTGGAAGGGTCCACTTCTTGTCAGGCAAGGGGGAGGTAGAGGTGGAGATAAGGTCAGAATTTTTGGGGGGCTCTGTGACGCTCTCCTAGGCATCCCAGCCCTCTGCTGATGGCTATTCCACATGACATTTGTCTCTGTCGGAAAGCTTCACCATAAGAACGGGTAAATAAAAATGGCTCCTGTAAATTATTCATCTTCCTTCTGCTATCCTCTGCAGTTGTAAGACCCCATTTCCTTGCCCTCCGTGTTCAGTGTTGTCTGTCACTGTTCCAACTCGGACTCCTTTTTGTGTCTTAATTAAGAGTTTGCTTGTCCTTCCTTTGGATTCTTTCGGCTCCCATTCAGAATGAACGGTGTACCGGCTGCCAGATATGAAGCACGAGAGCCTGTCTGTGTTCCTCCTCATGCCACAGTGTGACCCCTCATCGGCTCCTGTGACCTTCCCAAGATTCCAATGACTTGGTACAAGGAGGGCAAGGCTCTTGGCTGTGCCCAAGGCTTGCTGCACAGAAGAGACGAGGGCTGTATCCAAAAACGTTACAAGCTGTCATCCTTGCTTCCTCTGTCAAATCCTTGGAGGATATAAGGTCGGAGGAACCAAGGAGGAAGCAAGGATTTGACTGCTATGAACGTTTTCAGACACATAGCTGTTGCTTTGGAACCCCTGCAGTCATTCCTGTCACTCTGAGTCTAGTGCAGTGGTAGACTGATTGCATTCCTGAAAACATCTAGACTCCTGTGTGGGTGGATACAGTGAGGAAGTTTTAAAAACCCATAGAATACTGAAATCTGAAGACGTGCATTGCTATAATACTAAATACACAGATATAGCCTAGTTATTCGGTCAACTTCCTCTTGTAATTCATCAGTACATGGTAGCTCCCAGTTTCCCAGTTTGCTCTCTGCTGTCTTGGAGGTTGAAATGAGTCATGTGCTAAAGATATCTGACCTGGAGGAGCTCTGCTCAGAGGAAGGACTGACTCATTTAAGGGGAAGCCTTGATAGGAAAAACAACCTTTTCCTCAGAAACAGGGAGTTCTGGCCACACACTCCCTTTTAATGCTGTACAAACTACCAAGTTCCTCTCCACAAATAGAAAACCGTGATTACTTGTCATGGCTATGTTTATGTCATGTTAAACTGGGATTTTTTTTTTTTTACAGTAAATGAAGAGAGATTGGTAAATAGAATAGATACATCATTTACCCACCCCGTCACACGTCCCTCAACCTGTGAGCGTGCACTTGATATCACAGCGAATTCAGGAGGTCCAAACAGGACTTTAATCTAGGTTCCTGCGATTGTTCAACACCTTAGCCCTTACACCAAGAGGTCCAAATCTTTTGATCACTAGGTCAATCAATCAAATGTATTTATAGAGACCTTTTTAAAACAGCAGTTGTCACAGTGCTTATACAGAAACCTAGCCTAAAACCCCAGAGAGCAAGCAAATCAAATTGTATTTGTCACATACACATGTTTAGCAGATGTTATTGCGGGTGTAGCGAAATGCTTGTGCTTCTAGCTCCGACAGTGCAGTAATATCTAACAAGTAATATCTAACAATTTCACAACATATACCCAATACACACAAATCTAAGGAAGGAATGGAATTTAAGAATATATACATATATAGACAAGCAATGACAGAGCGGCATGGACTAAGATACAGTAAAATATTATAGAATGCGTTATATACATATGAGATGAGTAATGCAAGATATGTAAACATTATTAAAATGGCCAGTGATTTCAATAGGCAGCAGCAGGCTCTAATGTGCTAGTGATGGCTATTTAACAGTCTGATGGCCTTGACATAGAAGCTGTTTTTCATTCTCTCTGTCCCAGCTTTAATGCACCTGTACTGACCTCGCCTTCTGGATGATAGCGGGGTGAACAGGCAGTGGCTCAGGTGGTTGATGTCCTTGATTATCTTTTTGGCCTTCCTGTGACATCGGGTGCTGTAGGTGTCCTGGAGGGCGGGTAGTTTGCCCCCGGGAATGCGTTCGGCAGACCGCACCACCCTCTGGAGAGCCCTGTGGTTGCGGGCGGTGCAGCCCGACAGGATGATCTCAATTGTGCATCTGTAAAAGTTTGTGAGGGTTTTGGGTGCCAGGCCAAAAAACTCTGTTGCGCCTTCTTCACCACATTGTCTGCGTGGGTGGACCATTTCAGTTTGTCAGTGATGTGTACGCCAAGGAACTTGAAGCTTTCCACCTTCTCCACTGCGGTCCCGTCGATGTGGATAGGGGGGTGCACCCTCTGCTGTTTCCTGAAGTCCACGATCATCTCCTTTGTTGACGTTGAGTGAGAGGTTATTTTCCTGGCACCACACTCCCAGAGCCCTCAACACCTTCCTGTAGGCTGTCTCGTGCAGAAGTAGATGCACAGTGGCTAGGAAAAACTCCCTAGAAAGGCAGGAACCTAGGAAGAAACCTAGAGAGGAACCAGGCTCTGAGGGGTGGCCAGTCCTCTTCTGGCTGTGCCGGGTGGACATTTTAAGAGTACATGGCCATTAAGTCCAGATCGTTCTTCAAGATGTTCAAACATTCATAGAAGACCAGCAGGGTCAAATAATAATCACAGTGGTTGTAGAGGGTGCAAGATGTCAGCACCTCCAGGAGTTAATGTCAGTTGTCTTTTCATAGCCGAACATTTAAGGTCAATGTACTAAGGTTGCTAGAATATGTTAGGCCACAGCACCCCTCTAGCCACACGACCTCATCTCTAGCCTGTGAGTCAGTTTGTTTGTGCTATCGTGCCAACTCCTTGTCACTCATTGTCACGTCAAGCATGTTTGGCTGGACAATGATCTCAATGGAGTTGGCCAGAGCACAAACAGATCTGGGACCAGGTTCCCTCATCTCTAGCCTGCCATGTTGAGCTCGGTGAGCTTCGGAGCCCTGGTTGGTTCACTTCATAGTCTGTGGACGAGGCTGAACAAGTTTCTCAACACTTCGGTGAGAAGAAACACCAGATATTTCCCCACCAGCGGAAAATATCCACTCTTCCTTTGCGTTTTGCCTTCGCTGCATGTCTGTTTAGTTTCCAGCTGCCATGTAACGTTCTGTGGCCAGTGTGGGAGGTGCGTAGAAATTACCCCCATTGACTTTACTTGAAATATGACCACTGAAGTTGAAAAACTTTGCACCATGCAAACTCATCGAGACTCCAAAACCTCTTTTGGTGTTGCAAGGTTGAATAAACTTCAAAATATTTTCCATTTGTATGTTTTCAAAGTAGAATGTGCAGTATCTATTGGTGTTCAACTCTAGAGATAGCTCAGTGAAACCTTTTTTGTAAGTGTATTTTGGTAGTGACTGCCTACTACAGAGAGTGAAAAAAAGGCCAGGTCTGAGTGAGCACTGATTATGTGTGGGCAGGAGTCATTCCGCTGCCAGCACTTTGCAACACTGCTATCCGCCAATCTCAGCTTCCTCACACGTTGACGCTCAGCCCTTTTGAATGCAGGTCAGAGGGTAGCCGCATGGGCGAAGGCATTAGTCTGTGACTCTTTCTCTCTCTCTTTCTCCCTGTCTCTCTCTGTGTTAGTTTTTACCTACCTGTGGGATATGTAGGACAACATTTAGAAAATTCACTCCCATGGTGTCCTGTAGATAGAGGGACTGGGCATACCTAGGCTTATTTTCTTTTGGCCATGTAGGTATTGGGTTATTTTTGTTTCACTTTCATTCTTACCAGTTTCTGAAAGGCTCTGTAACTGTCCACAGTCATTGCTCATCCATCCGAATCCATTTTTCCCCAACCTCCAATCCGCTTCATCTGTAGAATGATTCCGTCTCGTTTGTGAATGTTTGTTGTTGTATGTGTGATGTGGGTGAATGTGAATGTGTACATGTCATTTTACTAATATTGTTCTCTCTCTCACCTCTCTTTTCTCTCCCATCTCCCTCTGTCTCATCTCTCTCTCTCCCCTCTCTCTCTCTTTCTCCCCTCTCTCTCTCTCTCTTTCTCCCCTCTCTCTCTCTCTCTTTCTCCCCTCTCTCTCTCTTTCTCCCCTCTCTCTCTCTTTCTCCCCTCTCTCTCTCTTTCTCCCCTCTCTGTCTCCCCTCTCTCACTCTGTCTCCCCCCTCTCGCTCTGTCTCCCCCCTCTCGCTCTGTCTCCCCCCTCTCGCTCTGTCTCCCCTCTCTCGCTCTGTCTCCCCTCTCTCGCTCTGTCTCCCCTCTCTCGCTCTGTCTCCCCTCTCTCGCTCTGTCTCCCCCCTCTCGCTCTGTCTCCCCCCTCTCGCTCTGTCTCCCCCCTCTCGCTCTGTCTCCCCTCTCTCGCTCTGTTTCCCCTCTCTCGCTCTGTCTGTCTGTGTGTCTCAGGGTATTATATGAAGGTAAGGAGCGTCTCATCCAGGACTGTGAGGTGATCCAGGCCACACCGTATGGCCGCTGTGCCAACGTCAACAACAGCTCTGCCGCTTCGCAGCGTATCTTCATCACCTTACGCCGCGCGCCGCCCGTCCAGCCCCAGAACTCCCTGTCCGTCACCGACATCTGCGTCATTGTCACCAGTAAGGGAGAGACGCCGCCGCACACCTTCTGCAAGGTGGACAAGAACCTCAACTGTGGCATGGTGAGTTGAGGCCACTGGTAATGAAGTAGGCTCATGACCAACTCAGTGGCCTTGTGATTAGAGTTTCCGTCCTGAGATTGGAAGGTTGGGGCTTCCTTCCCTCGTCGAGTCATATCAAAGACTCTCAAAATGGCAGGGGTGGACATCAAGCTGCCTCATGCTACAGAAACAGGAGATGGGTTCCTGCCCTATGGGCAGTTCTGGTTTGGACACGCCTACTTTCTTAAGGCCCACACACTCAATTGCTCCAACACATACCTTTTATTAGGTTGGTTTACAACATTTCGACCCCTGAAAGGGTCTTCGTCTGGCCCACAAAAGTAGAGCTTTGGGGAAGCAGTGGGGATGGAATATAACGTGATATGAAATTCAGGCCATGCCACTCACCCCCTAGCTGAGTACATTCTGTCGAAATGACGCCTTGAAAATGTTGTTTTGAGCCCAAAGTCACATGGTCTTGTTTTTCTTCCTCCAGTGGGGCTCTAGTGTTTTCCTGTGCTACAAGAAATCAGTGTCGGTGTCCAACTCCATTAATTACAAAGCCGGTGAGTCTCACACGCTATTGATTCTTTATTGTTACTCTATCTACCCATCTCTCCGCATCAGTCTCTATTTTCTGAGCTCATTGATGGATAGCTATTATTTTCCCTGGCCTTTGTTCAATGCTGTTTACCATGCATTTTCCTCTTGCTTCGTGCCTGAGTTGACTTCACAGTAATTGTATGCTGATCTCCTATGATTGAACTGAGTTGAAAGGAGCTTTCTGTGTGCTGTCGATAAGACTAAATGCACTGGCAAATGACAGCTCTGTTATCTGTCACTGAAATGCCTGGAAACTGCACAACACACTCCCTGATGTTAAATGGGCACCGCCTCACATTAGACTGCTTCACGATGACTCTCATTGGCATTTCTAAGCCTATTTCTGGTGCCCATTTATTTCAAGGTGGAAAATAGTGTCATTGTGCGTCATTGCTGTCACCCTGTGTGAAATGGTTTATCCTTTCGCTTTTGGTTTTTCACTTAAATTACCTCCAAACAGGTTCTTATGGACTATACAAATGCATGTGTAGAAAGGTCATGTTTCTGAAGACATTTATCCCTTAAATCAGACATTTGTTGTTCAGATGGTTTCATTCACACTATGTATCCACCTTCTTGTAAATGCAGCTGTTTGTCCCCGTCTCGAACTTGCTACTTTCTGAGGTCAGAGCTGGGTGTTGGCTTAGACGGGCGCCTGTTCAGAGACTACGCATGCACAGGCACACACGCTTTATCTTCGCTAGGCCTTCTTCCTGTGAGGTGACGATGTTTGTTTGCCAGACCACAGACTGCTTCCTACCCCGCCTACTCCTTCAATCGCTTTTTTTTTCTATAACATTCTCTTAACATTCATTGGTTAGCAAGGTGTTGATTTCCTTTGAAAAGAATGTGTTCGGAATCTCAGCACACTGGCTGATGACAAGGGAAAGGGTCTTTGATCTTATTCCAATCTCTCTCCTTCCATCCTCCTCTCTGCACTTCTTTAATGTTGTGTTATGATTGTGTAGTGTGCTCTGTTGACATCATTTCATTTGGTCAGTGAGTGTACCCCAATTAAATTCATATTACATGTAGCTAGGTTTATTATATGTCTTATGTGTGACTTGCTCTCTCTCCTCCAGGCCTCATCTTCCGCTACCCAGAGGATGACTATGAGTCCTTCCCCTTGTCTGAGTCTGTGCCCCTGTTCTGCCTCCCCATGGGGGCTAAGATCGAATGCTGGGCCCCCAACACACGCTACCCTCTGCCTGTCTTCTCCACCTTTGTGTTAACCAACTCCTCTGGAGAAAAGGTAGGTGGACTAGAACAATGGCATTATATCAGTAAACAGGGATTTACAATGATTCATGACTAGATTGATCAGGGCTGTTTGATTTATGTCCTGCAGGGCTGAAACACTTGTTTTTGTTTAGTTTTTTTTTATTAGGAGAGAATGAAAACCAGAAGTGTTTTGGCCCTCCAAGACAGGAATTGAACAGCCCAGTGACATAAATATGAATAGATAGTTGTAATAGTCAACATTCAAGTCTCACTTCCCGAGCTGCATGTGACATTGGGATTGGGGAGAAGTATTAGTTTTCTCCTCAGGCTGTGTGTATCAAGGCACCTGAATGTCAGCTGCCTCTTGAGCAAACTACAATCTCATCCCAAGTTATGTCACAAACCACGTCGCATTTCCCTGAGCTAGTGGGAATAGGGCATTTGCCTCTCAATGTACTTTATGTAAATGTGTTGCATTTTGCTATTTAATAATGGGTGCATAAATGTTACTCACCCTGTCATAAAAATGTGTGAAGGGCGTTCGTCAACGTCCCTAATATTATCACCGGAATCTATCTTTCATCGAATCTAATTTGATCTGTCCCAGGTGTACGGCGCTGCCATCCAGTTCTACGAGGCCTACCCCATAGATCTCCTCAGTGAGAAGCAGAAGGTGCAGCTGGGCCTGCTCACCACCGTGGAGAAGAAGATGATCCCCAACCGGACGGTCAACACCAACAAGTGCATCTGCCTCCTTTCCCGCTGGCCCTTCTTCGAGTCCTTCCGCAAGTTCCTCATGTTCCTCTACAAGCTGTCCGTCTCGGGCCCCCACCCGCTGCCCATTGAAAAGTAAGGATGACGTCATTTGTCAATGGTGGGGGGGGGGGGGGGAGGTTGAGTTGGAGATGTGCTTGATTTAGCTTGGGGTTTGCACTTTTGGGACTATTCCATGTTTCATTGTACCAGGAAAACTAAAGACGCAGCTCAAGATTAAAGTGTTTGATACATGTATTTGACCCAGGTCTGGAGAGGAGTAGGTTTGAAGCTAATGCTATTCTTTGCTTGCGTGTGTTTCTTTGACAGGCACATCTCACACTTCATGCACAACGTGTCCTTCCCCTCACCTCAGAGGCCCAGAATCTTGGTTCAGGTGAGATGTCATTATGATTTTTGTGCTGGCGAATGCCGTTTATGTTGGTGTCGCTGTTGTGACAGTGTTGTTTTCTCTTTCAGCTCTCTGCACACGACACCTTGATGCTCGCACAGCCTGTGTGTACTCCTATGCCTCTCAGGTAAGATCTTTTATAGGCCATAAAAAAATAGCTGCATTTCAGAGGGTACGTCCGTATGACAACTAGTTTAGAGACAGGATAATCTAGGGCCCAAGGGAAAACTTCAGGAACAGAAAGGGAGAAAGGGCCCGGTCCTTACCGTTGTCATGGCAGAGCATCAACCACAGTTTTTCCAGAGGAAATACCGGGGTTAGAAACGGCAATCCTCCAAACTTTCTGGCTCGGTAATACTAAACGCATTAATTCCTGATAGTTTTCCAGTTTGAAACTGCCACATGAAAACAGGCACTAGGACTGTCCCAGAAACAGCACTGCCTGTCTGTCACATTGTGGACAGGTCCTTCATTATATAGTGTAGAAATCCAGCCTGTACAGATGAAATAAACTGTTATGCTGCAATTGCATTCTGTCAAGAAACCTCAATGTGTTCCATCAGACTTTTTTCCTCTCCAGACTTTTCATTTCAAAGTTGAATATGTTGTTGTTGGTCAGCTAGTGAGAAGAACAGAGAGGTCCACACGCTGAATATGCTCCCAATTTACCACCTTTATTGACAACGTTTCGATCCAACACGGATTTTCGTTTCACCTGACAAAGATCCGTGTTGGATCGAAACATTGTCAATAAAGGTGGTAAATTGGGAGCATATTCAGCGTGCGGACCTTTCTGTTCTTTTCATGTTCACTTTATTTTTTATTTTTTTTACCACAGACGATGAGGTTTATTAAATAAATCAACTAAATGGGAGGTCATTTTTCTTTAAAGGAATGCACATGAAATACATATAACCACATGAAATACATATAACCACATGACCAAAAGTTTGTGGACACCTGCTCGTCGAACATCTCATTCCAAAATCATGGGCATTAATATGGAGTTGGTCCCCCCTTTGCTGCTATAACAGCCTCCACTCTTCTGGGAAGGCTTTCCACTAGATGTTGGAACATTGCTGCGGGGACTTGCTTCCATTCAGCCACGAGCATTAGTGAGGTCGGGCACTGATGTTGGGCGATTAGGCCTGGCTCGCAGTCGGCGTTCCAATTCATGTTCGATTGGGTTGAGGTCAGGGTTCTGTGCAGGCCAGTCAAGTTCTTCCACACCGATCTCGACAAACCATTTCTGTATGGACCTAGCTTTGTGCACAGGCGCATTGTCATGCTGAAACAGGAAAGGGACTTCCCCAAACTGTTGCCACAAAGTTGGAAGCACAGAATCGTCCAGAATGTAATTGGTATGCTGTAGCATTAAGATTTCCCTTCACTGGAACTAAGGGGCCTAGCCCGAACCATGAAAAACAGCCCCAGACCATTATTCCTCCTCCACCAAACTTTACAGTTGGCACTATGCATTGGGGCAGGTAGAGTTCTCCTGGCATACGCCAAACCCAGATTAGTCCGCTGGACTGCCAGATGATGTATCACGATTCATCACTCCAGAGAACACGTTTCCACTGCTCCAGAGTCCAATGGCGGCGAGCTTTATACCACTCCAGCCGAAGCTTGGCATTGCTTGTGTGCAGCTGCTCGGCCATGGAAACCCATTTCATGAAGCTCCTGACGAACAGTTCTTGTGCTGAAGTTGCTTCCAGAGACAGTTTGGAACTCGGTAGTGAGTGTTACAACCGAGGACAGATGATTTTTACGTGCTTCAGCACTCGGCGGTCCCGTTTTGTGAGCTTGTGTGGCGTACCACTTCGCGGCTGAGCCGTAGTTGCTCCTAGACGTTTCCACTTCACAATAACAGCACTTACAGTTGGGTCAGCTCTAGCAGGGCAGAAATTTGATTCACTGACTTGTTGGAAAGGTGGCACGTTGAAAGTCACTGAGCTCTTCAGTAATGTCATTCTACTGCCAATGTTTGTCTATGGAGATTGCATGGCGGTGTGCTCGATTTTATACACCTGTCAGCAACGTGTGTGGCTGAAATAGCAGAACCACTAATTTGAAGGGGTGTCCACATACTTTTGTATATATAGTGTAGAACCACAAGAAATACACAACGCAGCCTACAGTGTCTATAGCAGGGCTCTCCGACTCTGTTCCTGGAGAGATACCCCCCCTGCAGGTTTCAACTCCAAGCCCGTTCCTGGAGAGATACCCTCCCGCAGGCCCCAACCCCAACCCTGCTCCCGGAGAGATACCCTCCCGCAGGTTTGAACTCCAACCCCAATCCAGTGTACCTGATTCTAATAATTAGCTGGTTGATAAGCTGAATCAGGTTAGTTACAACTGGGGTTGGACTGAAAACCCACCGGAGGGCAGCCCCCCAGGAACTGGTCCGGAGTCCAAACCCACCGGAGGGCAGCCCCCCAGGAACAGGGCCGGAGCCAAACCCCACAGTGTTCACTTTATTAGCCCAGCACCTAAGTTAAGGATGTGTGTATGACCCCAAACTCTTCTATAGATGGTCAGCTAGTGTGCTCATGCCTTTCGGGGCTGGAAGACTTGCTGGCTAGTGCCTTTGGCACAGGTGTTTGTTGATATGCAAAGTTTGAACCGGTTACTCTCTGAAAATAAAATAAAAGTATTTTTCCCCTTAAAAGGTTTTTAAAAGAACCAGGTTTTGACACAAGGGCGCAATGTAACCTGAGCTTTTGTCTCAATCCAGTTTACCTTCACCCCTCCCTGATTTACCCACACACCTTCTTTACTGCACATGTACTGTTTACAAACCCCCCTTCAAAGATGGCTGCCCTTCATCCAATCCAACCTTTCATGACCCATTGTATCCCTGAGTCTCGTTTGAATCCTTTCCCCAATACCTATGTGCTCCTCTCTTCCCAACTCTCCTTTCCCCCTCTCCTCTCTCTCCTCCCCTCTTCTCTCTCCTCCCCTCTCCCCTCTCCTCAGTGGTGCAGACTACAGTACACTGCTGATTAACCTGGGCCCAGAGAACTGTGCCACGCTGCTGCACTTTGTCCTGCTGGAGAGTAAGATCCTGCTACACTCCTTGAGACCCGCTGTACTCACCGGGGTAGCAGAGGCTGTGGTGGCGGTGAGTGATAAAGGATATGGTCACTCAGCTTTGATTGTGACAAGTGTTATATAAATGATGGTTGGTTGGTTGGTTGGAGTTTGTATACATGATGTGGCCCATGTAGGAATGACGTTAGGTTAATATGTGAAAACGTTGGATGAAAATGTGAAATAGAAGTTTGATTTTCTCTCCGTCTGTGTCCTACTATCTAGATGATATTTCCATTCCAGTGGCAGTGCCCGTACATCCCCCTCTGCCCGCTCTCCCTGGCAGGGGTCCTCAACGCCCCCTGTCCCTTCATCGTGGGCGTGGACTCCCGCTACTTTGACCTCTATGACCCTCCACCGGACGTGGTCTGTGTGGACCTGGACACCAACACTATCTACCTGTAAGATCCAGACATTTTAAAGAAGCATTCCCCCATTTTGACATATGGATCTGTTAACACACTTACCCTAACTGTTGTCGATACCCCAGAGACAGTTTTTCAGTCCATATATCGCATATTATAAACTGGGTGGTTCGAGCCCTGAATGCTGATTGGCTGACAGCCGTGGTATATCATACCGTATACCACGGGTATGACAAAATATTTATTTTTACTGCTCTAATTACGTTGGTAAACAGTTTATAATAGCAATAAGTCACCTCGGGAGTTTGTGGTATATGGCCAATATACCACGGCTAAGGGCTGTGTCCAGGCACTCCGCGATGCGTCATGCATAAGAACAGCCCTTAGCCGTGGTATATTGGCCATATACCACACCTCCTCTGGCCTTATTGCTTAATTATGTATTTTTTATCACTTACACCAGAATGAGCATATTCCAAATACACCTTACTAACATTCTGAACCATCTCTGCAGGTCTGAGGAGAAGAAACACAGTAACTGGAAGAACCTCCCAAAGAAGCCCTGCAAGAGCCTGTTTCACTCCCTGAACAACCTGCACCACCAGCTGAGCATCGGTACAAACACAGTCATAGAATTATATTTCAACTTTACTCTCGAGTCTCATAGCAACTGCTTCATGCCTGCGGCTTGGAACCATGCTGGAAATGATCTGATACAGCATAGTATGATTGGTGAAAATGATATACAGTACCAGTTAAAGGTTTGGACACCTACTCATTCAAGGATTTTTCTTTCTTTTTACTATTTTCTAATGTCCATTGCCCGTGTTTCTTGGCCCAAGCAAATCTCTTCTTCTTATTGGTGTCCTTTAGTAGTGGTTTCTTTGCAGCAATTTGACCGTGAAGGCCTGATTCACGCAGTCTCCTCTGAACAGTTGATGTTGAGATGTGTCTGTTACTTGAACTCTGTGAAGCATTTATTTGGGCTGCAATTTTTGAGGCTGGTAACTAATGACCTTATCCTCTGCAGCAGAGGTAACTCTGGGTCTTCCTTTCCTGTGGCGGTCCTCATGAGAGCTAGTTTCATTATAGCGCTTGATGGTTTTTGCGACTGGACTTTAAGAAACGTTCAAAGTTCTTGACATTTTCCGTATTGACTGACCTTCATGTCTTAAAGTAATGATAGACTGTCGTTTCTCTTTGCTTATTTGAGCTGTTCTTGCCATAATATGGACTTGGCTATCTTCTGTATACCAACCCTACCTTGTCACACAACTGATTTGGCTCAAATGCATTAAGAAGGAAATAAATTCCTCAAATTAACTTTTAACAAGGCTCACCCGTTAATTGAAATGCATTCCAGGTGACTACCTCATGAAGCTGGTTGAGAGAATGCCAAGAGTGTGCAAAACTGTAATCAAGGCAAAGGGTGGCTACTTTGAAGAATCTAAAATATGAAAATATATTTTGATTTGTTTAACACTTTTTTTGGTTACTACATGATTCCATATGTGTTATTTCATAGTTTTGATGTCTTCACTATTATTCTACAATGTAGAAAATAGTAAAAATAAAGAAAAACCCTTGAATGAGTAGGTGTGCCCAAACTTTTGACTGGTAGTATAAGTCAATAGTATGTTTAGCCTACTATCCCCAGTCCTTTTAGTATGTGAAATGTAATTATCCCCATCTGGTGGCTGTTTTCCAGTGCGTCGGACGGCCCAGGAGGGCTTGGCGGTGGAGATGACCCCCATCGAGGCGGACTTCACCTGGCACAAGAAGATGACCTCCCTAGAGATGGAGATCCAAGAGTCCCTGCTGCGCTTCATGGCCAACATCCTGAAGGGCTACCGCTCCTACCTCAAACCCATCACCCAGGCCCCCTCCGAGAAGGCCACCTCTGCAGACTCACTATATGACCTACAGGGTTAGTGTGTGGGTGTGTTTTCACCGCTCTTATCTCAAACCCATCACCCAGGTCCGATCCAATAAGGCCACCGCCTCAGACTTACTAAACGACCTACACTGTAACAATGGGGAATGGATGGATTGTTTTTAGTCCTTCGTTCATATATTTGCCCACAAAATGTATCACCCCACCCAGAACAAAATCTTGCGCACAGGCTGTATTGTCTATCTCGAAGGACTACACAAAACAGACGTAAAATGTGCTAATAGACAGTTTTTTAAGGAAATACTTTGAATACTAAAACTTTACTCATTGCGCTCTAGCGACTCCTTGTGGCAGTGTTTCCTCCGACACATTGGTGCGGCTGGTTTCCGAGTTAAGCGAGCGGGTGTTGAGAAGCGCGGCTTGGCGGGTCATGTTTCGGAGGACGCATGACCTCGACCTTCACCTCTCCCAAGCCCGTTGCAGCGATGAGATAAGATCGTAATTGGATCGCAATTGGATATAACAAAAACTGGGGAGAAAAAAAAACATCTAACACAAGTATTATAATTGCGCAATGTATATTATACAGTATTTGAATGTCATCCAGGAGCTGTGTTAAACAGACCGCCTATCTGACTGCTGTTCCAAGTGTTCATAACAGGCAAATCTCTAATTTCACAGGCCTACTCAGAAATCAACCATCTATGGCATTGATTAATTTTTCCCCCCTCATCAATCTAAACACAATAACCCATAATGACAAAGCAAAAACTGTTTGACATTTTTGCAAAAAAAAAAAAAAATAACTGATATCACATTTACATAAGTATTCAGACCCTTTACTCAGTACTTTGTTGAAGCACCTTTGGCAGCGATTACAGCCTCGAGTATGACGCTACAAGCTTGGCACACCTGTATTTGGGGAGTTTCTCCCATTCTTCTCTGCAGATCCTCTCAAGCTCTGTCAGGTTGGATGGGGAGCATTGCTGCACAGCTATTTTCAGGTCTCTCCAGAGATGTTTGATCGGGTTCAAGTCCTGGCTCTGGCTGGGCCACTCAAGAACATTCAGAGACTTGTCCCGAAGCCACTCCTGCGTTGTCTTGGCTGTGTGTTTAGGGTCGTTGTCTTGTTGGAAGGTGAACCTTCGCCCCAGTCTGAGGTCCTGAGCGCTCTGGAGCAGGTTTTCATCAAGGATCTCTCTGTACTTTGCTCCGTACATCTTTCCCTCATTCCTGACTAGTCTCCCAGTCCATGCCACTGAAAAACATCCCACAGCATGATGCTGCCACCACCATGCTTCATTGTAGGGATGGTGCCTGGTTTCCTACAGACGTGACGCTTGGCATTCAGGCCAAAGAGTTCAATCTTGGTTTTATTTGACTAGAGAATCTTGTTTCTCATCGTCTGAGAGTCTTTAGGTGTCTTTTGGCAAACTCCAAGTGGCTGTCATTCCTTCTACTGAGGAGTAGCTTCCGTCTGGCCACTCTACCATAAAGGCCTGATTGGTGGAGTGCTGCATAGATAGATGGGAGAACCTTCCAGAAGGACAACCATCTCCACAAAGGAACTCTGGAGCTCTGTCAGAGTGACCATCGGGTTCTTGGTCACCTCCCTGACCAAGGCCCTTCACCCTCGATTGCTCAGTTTGGCCGGGCAGGTTGGTGGTTCCAATCTTCTTCCATTTAAGAATGGAGGCCACTGTGTTCTTGGGGACCTTCAATGCTGCAGAAATATTTTGGTACCCTTCCCCAGATCTGTGCCTCAACACAATCCTGTCTCGGCGCTCTACGGACAATTCCAATCAAGTTGTAGAAACATCTCAAGGATGATCAATGGAAACAGGATGCACCTGAGCTCAATTTCGAGTCTCATAGCAAAGGATCTGATTATTTACGTAAATAAGGTATTTCTGTTTTTTATTTTTAATACATTTGTAAGAACGTCTAAAAACCTGTTTTCTCTTTGTCATTATGGGGTATTGTGTGTAGATTAATGAGATTTTTTGTATTTAATCCATTTTAGAATAAGGCTGTGACGTAACAAAATGTGGAAAAAGTGAAGGGGTCTGAATACTTTCCGAATGCACTGTACATAATGCATTTGGAAGAAAATATAGTTATACCATTATATTTTATTGCCCATTTGATTTAAAAGGTTAGTTCACAATCTCACTGGGGTATTGAAGACTGAGTCCCATACTACCCATTCACTGAAATATAATATAGCTTTTTTTTTACTGGAGAATTGTAATTTAAAATAAGGCCACTAAAATCCACACAATGCATATTTCCTTTCAGCATTTTTATTTAAACTCTGGCCACACAGCGTTGCCTGTTAAGTGTTTAGAGAACATTTGTGTAGCATTTCCTGAGCGTTTCCTATGGGACAGGCCCATTGACCTGGCTCTCTGTCCTCTCCCAGGGTTCCTAAAGAGCAGGGAGCGAGCCCACCAGAAGTTCTACTCGCAGCTGACGAAGACTCAGATCTTCATTCGCTTCATCGAGGAGTGCACGTTCGTCAGCGACAAGGACACAGGCCTTGCCTTCTTCGACGACTGCATCGAGAAGGTGAGCGTTATCAAGCACCAGGCAACAGGAGTCAGTGTGGGGGGTCCATTACATATCAACTCCATCAATCCAGGAAGTTAATTGAAATTCAGTGAATGATTTTGACAAATTGAACAGTGTTCCCAGCAGCCAAAACTGGTTGTAATGATTCCATTTTTCCTGCTTTGCTTGCTGGGTTGGGGCCAATTCCATTCCAACTCCCATAAAGCCAGGAAGTGAATTGAAAATGCATGAATGAATGAATGAATTGAAAATGAATCTTTGAAAATAAATGTCACTTTTAGATTTTTGAATTGGAATTGACCCCCACACCCAGCTAGACAAGAACATGGCTTCCCTCCATCGTCCCCTGGCGAGTGCCTCAGACCGATGTCAATTTTCGAACCCGATTTTTGTGGCATTTGTTTAACGTGTTGTTTTATTGATGATTCAGTCGTAACATTCCTCCAGGGGAGACTGACGGAGGAAGGCTCATTTCCTCTGATTGAATCTGTTCCTTTACCCTTTTCCCCTGCAGCTATTTCCCTCTGATAAAGGCAGTGACAAAGCCACTAAGGTAATCCCTCAGACCCTAGTCAAGTTTTAACACACCTCCTTTTCCAACTAGAGTCTGTCTCATTATAATGCATTAGAAGAATGGTTGTAGTGATTTTGATTTGTCTGTGTGTGTACGTGCGGCCATGTGCGTGGACACTGAGAACATGTTTTCCTTTCCATAGGTGGAGGGTGAGTCATCAGAGGACATTAAGCTCATGGAACTAGACGAATCACAGAAGAGTGAGCACACAGTCTTCGTCATGCCCCCAGAACCTCCCGCCACCGAGGACGAATCTGACCTCCCTGCCCGCTACAGGTGAGCTAACCCCCAGTACATGCTGCACCACTAACACATTGGCAGCACAATAACACCAGTGATCCTGGTAGTGTCTTACAGTGGACAGTGCATCTGGCTCCGAAGAAGGGATGCGGGTCTACGTTAACTTCACTCTCATACCTGTGGCGTTTTCCTCTCTCTCTCGCTCACTCTCTGTTAGTTATAAGAGTTTTCCTCGGTTGCGTATGGACCTGTTTGACCGTCCCAGAGAGGTGATGCCAGCGCTGAGGAGCAGCACACCAGGGGCCAGCCTGTCCAGCAGCCCTGCACTGCTGGCCAAGAGGACCAAGCAGGTACACATGCATGCATATATACACACACGCACAGTGGCAGGACCATGGAATGGATGCAATGGTGTGTACAATACAATAAAGAGTCAACCAGAGGATCAGTTGCAACATTCAAATTCTGGTACGTTTTATTTGCTTCGTAAAACAACAGGTGTAGACTGACTGTGAAATGCTTACCTACGGGTCCTTTTCGAACGACGCAGAGTTAAAAATAAAATAGAAAAAGTGACATGAGGAGTAAATACACAGTGAATAACGAATAACAATGACAAGTAAAAATAACATGGCTATACATGGGGAGTACCAGCACCGAGTCGATGTGCAGTGGTATGAGGAAATTGAGGTAGATACAGTGGGGGAAAAAAAGTATTTAGTCAGCCACCAATTGTGCAAGTTCTCCCACTTAAAAAGATGAGAGAGGCCTGTAATTTTCATCATAGGTACACGTCAACTATGACAGATAAATTGAGAGAAAAAAAATCCAGAAAATCACATTGTAGGATTTTTTATGAATTTATTTGCAAATTATGGTGGAAAATAAGTATTTGGTCACCTACAAACAAGCAAGATTTCTGGCTCTCACAGACCTGTAACTTCTTCTTTAAGAGGCTCCTCTGTCCTCCACTCGTTACCTGTAATAATGGCACCTGTTTGAACTTGTTATCAGTATAAAAGACACCTGTCCACAACCTCAAACAGTCACACTCCAAACTCCACTATGGCCAAGACCAAAGAGCTGTCAAAGGACACCAGAAACAAAATTGTAGACCTGCACCAGGCTGGGAAGACTGAATCTGCAATAGGTAAGCAGCTTGGTTTGAAGAAATCAACTGTGGGAGCAATTATTAGGAAATGGAAGACATACAAGACCACTGATAATCTCCCTCGATCTGGGGCTCCACGCAAGATCTCACCCCGTGGGGTCAAAATGATCACAAGAACGTTGAGCAAAAATCCCAGAACCATACGGGGGGGACCTAGTGAATGACCTGCAGAGAGCTGGGACCAAAGTAACAAAGCCTACCATCAGTAACACACTACGCCGCCAGGGACTCAAATCCTGCAGTGCCAGACATGTCCCCCTGCTTAAGCCAGTACATGTCCAGGCCCGTCTGAAGTTTGCTAGAGTGCATTTGGATGATCCAGAAGAGGATTGGGAGAATGTCATATGGTCAGATGAAACCAAAATATAACTTTTTGGTAAAAACTCAACTCGTCGTGTTTGGAGGACAAAGAATGCTGAGTTGCATCCAAAGAACACCATACCTACTGTGAAGCATGGGGGTGGAAACATCTTGCTTTGGGGCTGTTTTTCTGCAAAGGGACCAGGACGACTGATCCGTGTAAAGGAAAGAATGAATGGGGCCATGTATCGTGAGATTTTGAGTGAAAACCTCCCATCAGCAAGAGCATTGAAGATGAAACGTGGCTGGGTCTTTCAGCATGACAATGATCCCAAACACACCGCCCGGGCAACGAAGGAGTGGCTTCGTAAGAAGCATTTCAAGGTCCTGGAGTGGCCTAGCCAGTCTCCAGATCTCAACCCCATAGAAAATCTTTGGAGGGAGTTGAAAGTCTGTGTTGCCCAGCGACAGCCCCAAAACATCACTGCTCTAGAGGAGATCTGCATGGAGGAATGGGCCAAAATACCAGCAACAGTGTGTGAAAACCTTGTGAAGTCTTACAGAAAACGTTTGACCTGTGTCATTGCCAACAAAGGGTATATAACAAAGTATTGAGAAACTTTTGTTATTGACCAAATACTTATTTTCCACCATCATTTGCAAATAAATTCATTAAAAATCCTACAATGTGATTTTCTGGGAAAAAAATTGTTTTCATTTTGTCTGTCATAGTTGACGTGTACCTATGATGAAAATTATAGGCCTCTCTCATCTTTTTAAGTGGGAGAACTTGCACAATTGGTGGCTGACTAAATACTATTTTCCCCCACTGTATGTACATATACAGTACCAGTCAAAAGTTTGGACTATTTTCTACATTGTAGTATAATAGTGAAGACATCAAAAATATTAAATAACACACATGGAATCATGTAGTAACCAAAAAAGTGTTAAACATATCAAAATAAATTTTAGATTCTTCAAAGTAGCCACCCTTTGCCTTGATGACAGCTTTGCACACTCTTGGCATTCTCTCAACCAGCTTCACCTGGAATGCTTTTCCAACAGTCTTGAAGGAGTGTCCACATATGCTGAGCACTTGTTGGCTGCTTTTCCTTCACTCTGCGGTCCAACTCATCCCAAACCATCTGAATTTGGTTGAGGTCAGGTGATTGTGGAGGCCAGGTCATCTGATGCAGCACTCCATCACTCTCCTTATTGGTCAAATAGCCCTTACACAGCCTGGAGGTGTGTTGGATCATTGTCCTTTTGAAAAACAAATGATAGTCCCACTAATCGATAACCAGATGGGATGGCGTATCGCTGCAGAATGCTGTGGTAGCCATGCTGGTTAAGTGTGCCTTGAATTCTAAATAAATCACAGACATTGTCACCAGCAAAGCACCATCACACCTTCTCCACCATGCTTCACGGTGGGAACCACACATGCGGAGATCATCCGTTCACCTACTCTGCGTCTCACAAAGACATGGTGGCTGGAACCAAAAATCTCAAATTTGGACTCATCAGACCAAAGGACAGATTTCCACTGGTCTAATGTCCATTGCTTGTGTTTCTTTGCCCAAGCAAGTCTCTTCTTCTTATTGGTGTCCTTTAGTAGTGTTTTTTTTGTAGCAATTCGACCATGAAGGCCTGATTCACACAGTCTCCTCTGAACAGTTGATGTTGAGATGTGTCTGTTACTTGAACTCTGTGAAGCATTTATTTGTGCTGCAATTTCTGAGGCTGGTAACTAATGAACTTATTCTCTGCAGCAGAGGTAACTCTGGGTCTTCCTTTCCTGTGGTGGTCCTCATGAGAGCCAGTTTCATTATAGCACTTGATGGTTTTTGCAACTGCACTTGAAGAAACTTTCAAAGTTCTTGACATTTTCTGAATTGACTGATGGACTGTCATTTCTCTTTGCTTATTTGAGCTGTTCTTGCCATAATATGGACTTGTTCTTTTACCAAATAGGGCTATCTTCTGTATACCACCCCTACCTTGTCACAACACAACTGATTGGCTCAAACGCATTAAGAAGGAAAGAAATTCCACAAATTAACTTTTAACAAGGCACACCTGTTAATTAAAATGCATTCCAGGTGACTACCTCATGAAGCTGATTGAGAGAATGCCAAGAGTGTGCAAAGCTGTCATCAAGGCAAGGGGTGGCTACTTTGAAGAATCTCAAATATAAAATATATTTGGCTACACTGTATATACAAAGTATGTGGACACCCCTTCAAATTAGTGGATTCGGCTATTTCATCAGCACCCATTGCTGACACGTGTATAAAATTGAGCACACAGCCATGCAATCTCCATAGACAAACATTGGCAGTAGAATGCCCATACTGAAGCGCTCAGTAACTTTCAACGTGGCACCGTCATAGGATGCCACCTTTCCAACAAGTCAGTTCGTCACATTTCTGCCCTGCTAGATCTGCCCGGTCAACTGTAAGTGCTGTTATTGGGAAGTGGAAATGTATAGGCGCAACAACGGCTCAGCCGACAAGTGGTAGGCCACACAAGCTCACAGAATGGGACCGCCGAGTGCTGTAATGCGTAAAAATCGCCTGTCTTCGGTTGCAACACTCCAAACTGCCTCTGGAAGCAACGTCAGCACAATAACTGTTCGTCGGGAGCTTCATGAAATGGGTTTCCATGGCCGAGCAGCCGCACACAAGCCTAAGATCGCCATGTGCAATGCCAAGTGTTGGCTGGAGTGGTGTAAAGCTTGCCACCATTGATCTCTCGAGCAGGGCTCCCGAGTGGGCAGCGGTCTAAGGCACTGCATCTCAGTGCTAGAGGCGTCACTACAGACCCTGGTATAATTCCAGGCTGTATCACAATCCGGCCGTGATTGGGAGTCCCATAGGGCGGCGCACAATTGGCCCAGCGTCGTCCGGGTTTGGCCGGGGCAGGCTGTCATTGTAAATAAGACGTTTTTCTTAACTGACTTGCCTAGTTAAATAAAGGTTTAAAAAAATAATAATACAAAAGTGTAAACGGGGCGAATGATATGTTCGATGAGCAGGTGTCCACATACTTTTGGTCATGTAGTGTATTTAGTTAGCTATTTAACAGTCTTATGGCATGGGGATAGAAGCTGTTTAGGAGCCTGTTGGTGTCAGACTTGATGCGCCTGTACCGCTTGCCGTGCGGAAGCAGAGAGAATAGTCTATGGCTTGGGTGGTTGGAGTCTTTAACGATTTTCCGGGCATTCCTTTCACACCGCCTGATATAGAGGTCCAGGATGGCAGTACAGCTGTAGAAGTTTTTGAGATTTGAGGGCCCATGTCAAACCTTTTCAACCTCCTGAGGGGGTGTAGACACCGAGGAACTTGAAGCTCTCGACCCGCTCCACTACAGCCCAATCGATGTGGATAGGGACGTGCTCGCTCCTCCGTTTCCTGTAGTCCACGATCAGCTCCTTTGTCTTGCTGACGTTGAGGTAGAGGTTGTTGTCCTGGCACCACACTGCCAGGTCTCTGACCTCCTCCCTATAGGCTGCCTCATCGTCGTCGGTGAGCAGTCCTACCATTGTTGTGTCGTCATCGACCACGCGGTCCTGGTTGAACAGGGACTACAGGAAGGGGATTAAGCACACACCCCTGAGGGGCCCCCTGTGTTGATGGTCAGCATGGCGGAAGTGTTGTGGCCTACCCTCACCACTTGGTGTCCGGGATGATGGTGTTGATATGAGCCATGACCAGCCTTTCAAAGCGTTTCATGGCTGTAGATGTGAGTGCTACGGGGCAATAGTCATTTAGGCAGGTTACCATGGCGTTCTTGGCCACAGGTAATATGGTGGTCTGCTTGAAACAAGTTGGTATTACAGACCGGGTCAGGGATAGGTTGGAAAATGTCAGTGAAGACACTTGCCAGCTGGTCAGCGCATGCTCTGAGTATGTGTCTTGGTATTCTGTCTGGCCATGTGGCCTTGAGAATGTTAACCTGTTTTAAAGGTCTCTGGAAAGCGAGATCACGCATGGTTCAGTGTTGCTTGCCTCGAAGCTGTTCTGATGTCCAGATGCTGTTTTCGATCATAGTAAATGATGGTGGAGACATTATGTAAAAAAAAAAAAAAAAAAAAAGATCAAATCGCAGAATTGATCAGGAGCACGTAAGACTGCTACTATTCACTGCAGCGCCATCTTGGTCAACGACATTGTCCTGATCAGTCTTGTTCCTCATTCTAGTTCTACCTACTCTGCCCTGTCTACTGCCCTGACCACATGACCAATTCCCCAGGTAGGGAATAACATGCCCGTGGACGCTGTCGGCTGCTGAGTCATTCTCTCACGCCGTGTCCCAAATGGCACCCTGTTCCCTATATAGTACTCTACTTTTGACCAGGGCCTATAGGGTCATTTGTGCACTATGTAGGGAATATTTTTGACAACCATTCTCTGTCTGGGATGGTGCACTGGCTGGTTCCAATAAAAAAGAAGTCACTCACCACTGTAATCAGCAGCTACTTATTTACAGCAGGGCAGAGGAGAATAGCCGACTCTGGGCTGTAACATCGCTGCTCTTTGAGCTCTGTCTAGGCCAAGTACAGACTCAAAGCCAGTCGGACTTACTTTGGACAGAGATGGAAGAGTGGTGTGTGTGTGTTTTTGGGGAGGGGACGGTGGTCACTGTGACGTGTTTTTAGAATAATAGACCTCCCAGGAAACAGGCTTTTTTTGTCTTGTGATTCTTGTTGTTTTGTCGTCCTCCGCTTTTGTGGGAGGCCAATATATTTTTCCGGTTCAGACAGTTTGTGTTGCTGTGTATGTGTAGTATTTGTCTGGCTACGTGTAGAAGAGCTAAAAAGTACCTTGTGTATATAAATGGATTACTTAATATAAACTGTGTGGTTCGAGCCCTGAATGCTGATTGGCTGAGAGCCGTGGTATATCAGACCATATACCACGGGTATGACAAAACATTTATTTTTACTAATCTAATTATATAAATAGATTACATAATATGCACCACACATTTTTATATTCACACACGTACCACAAACACTGCGTGGTGGGTGTCGTGACAAGATATCAAGTGAGTATGTGGGCGTTAATATTTCTGTGGCGCTTGAAAGACTCGCCTCATAAGGCCAGGTATTATTAGGCCACTGTTCTACGGAGAGAGGAGGGAGGGGACGTTCACCATGAGGAACGTGCAAAGTCACACTCACTACAACTCTCTCCTCCCAACTCTGACTATGAGGAAATAGCACAGGATAATAATAAACTGAAAATCATCTGGAATCACTCATAATCAGTCAATTGTATTCACATTTTCCACAAATAAAACTAATTAAACTGAACAGAAATGAACTGTGTGTCTGTGTCCCTCTGCAGGAGATCAAGCTTGCCTACAAGATGGCCAAGCGCTTCTACTCCAACCCTCCGCTGTGGGCCAAGTGTCTGTTCAGCCACTGCTACAGCCTGTGGTTCATCTGTCTGCCCGTGGGGGTGAGGTTGGTCCAGTCCAAGAGCTGGGCCATGCAGCAGGCCTACAACGTCCTGCTCAAGATGAGGACCTCTGAGGTGGAGGTCCTAGATGAGGTGAGGGGAAGGGAGGGGAGTGGGGGTATGGGAAGGGTTGCGTTGTGGGGTTTTGGTTGTGGGGATGGTGGGGAGATTGGTATGTAAGGGGGTAGTGTTTGTTTGTCAATGTTTGTTAACATGAGTCTTTGAGTAGGCTTGTGTGTGTGTGTTGGTGTCATCATTCCCGCTACAGGGATAACGACTACAGTGGAAGTCTACTGTAGCTATTAAGTTATTATTAGCCACCATCTCTCCCTCTGTAGGTGTGTTACCGTGTAGTGATGCAGCTGTGTGGTGTGTACGGTCAGCCTGTCATGGCCGTCCGTGTTCTGGTGGAGATGAAGAAGGCGGGGGTGCACCCTAACGCTATCACCTATGGATACTACAACAAGGTAGGTTACTTTAACCAGCCCATGCACTTACAGGTATCTGCCAAAATAAAGGAAACGCCAACATAGTGTCTTAATAGGGCGTTGGGCCAGAACTGCTTCAATGCGCCTTGTCATAGATTCTACACGTGTCTGGAACTCTATTGGAGGGATGCGACAACATTCTTCCATGAGAAATTCCATCATTTGGTGTTTTGTTGATGGTGGTGGAAACCGCTCCAGAATCTCCTATAAGTGTTCAATTGGGTTGAGATCTGGTGACTGAGAAACGTGTGTGTGTGTGTGTGTGTGTGTATATATATATATATATGTGTATATATATATATATATATATATCTCAGCAAAAAAAAAAGAAACGTCCTCTCACTGTCAACTGCGTTTATTTTCAGCAAACTTAACATGTTTAAATATTTGTATGAACATAGCAAGATTCAACAACTGAGACATAAACTGAGCAAGTTCCACAGACATGTGACTAACAGAAGTGGAATAACGTGTCCCTGAACAAAGGGGGGGTAACAGTCAGTATCTGGTGTGGCCACCAGCTGCATTAAGTACTGCAGTGCATCTCCTCCTCATGGACTGCACCAGATTTGCCAGTTCTTGCTGTGAGATGTTACCCCACTCTTCCACCAAGGCACCTGCAAGTTCCCAGACATTTCTGTGGGGAATGGCCCTAGCCCTCAACCTCCGATCCAACAGGTCCCAGACGTGCTCAATGGGATTGAGATCCGGGCTCTTCGCTGGCCATGGCAGAACACTGACATTCCTGTCTTGCAGGAAATCACGCACAGAACGAGCAGTATGGCTGGTGGCATTGTCATGCTGGAGGGTCATGTCAGGATGAGCCTGCAGGAAGGGTACCACATGAGGCAGGAGGATGTCTTTCCTGTAACGCACAGCGTTGAGATTGCCTGCAATGACAACAAGCTCAGTCCAATGATGCTGTGACACACCACCCCAGACCATGACGGACCCTCCCCCTCCAAATCGATCCCACTCCAGAGTACAGGCCTCGGTGTAACGCTCATTCCTTCGACAATAAACGCGAATCCGACCATCACCCCTGGTGAGACAAAACTGCGACTCGTCAGTGAAGTGCCCTTTTTGCCAGTCCTGTCTGGTCCAGCGACGGTGGGTTTGTGCCCATAGGCGACGTTGTTGCCGGTGATGTCTGATGTCCTACAAGCCCTCAGTCCAGCCTCTCTCAGCGTATTGCGGACAGTCTGAGCACTGATGGAGGGATTGTCATTCCTGGTGTAACTTGGGCAGTTGTTGTTGCCATCCTGTACCTGTCCCGCAGGTGTGAAGTTCGGATGTACCGATCCTGTGCAGGTGTTGTTACACGTAGTCTGCCACTGCAAGGACGATCAGCTGTCCGTCCTGTCTCCCTGTAGCGCTGTCTTAGGCGTCTCAAGGTACGGACACCTGGCCACATCTGCAGTCCTCATGCCTCCTTGCAGCATGCCTAAGGCACGTTCACGCAGATGAGCAGGGACCCTGGGCATCTTCTTTGGGGGGGGGGGGGGGGGGGGTTTCATAGTCAGTAGAAAGGCCTCTTTAGTGTCCTAAGTTTTCACAACTGTGACCTTAATTGCCTACCGTCTGTAAGCTGTTAGTGTCTTTAACGACCGTTCCACGGGTGCATTAATTGTTTATGGTTCATTGAACAAGCATGGGAAACAGTGTTTAAACCCTTTACAATGAAGATCTGTGAAGTGATTTGGATTTTTACGAATTATCTTTGAAAGACCGGGTCCTGAAAAGGGGACGTTTCTTTTTTTGCTGAGTTTTTATATATATATACACACACACACACACCCTTTAAACCCCCTATGCTCCTTTGAGACCACTCCTTCAAAGTCACTGAGATCCTGACCGGCTTCCCGACCCAGTTGCATAGGGCGGGGTTCAGACCCAGGGCCTCAAGCTTAATGATGAGCTTGGAGGGTACTATGGTGTTGAATGCTGAGCTATAGTCAATGAACAACATTCTTACATAGGTATTGCTCTTGTCCAGATGGGATAGGGCGGTGTGATGGCAATTGCATCGTCTGTGGATCTATTGGGGTGGTAAGCAAATTTGAAGTGGGTCTAGGGTGGCAGGTGAGGTAGAGATGATATGATCCTTCACTAGTCTCTCAAAGCACTTCATAATGACAGTAGTGAGTGCTACGGGGCGATAGTCATTTAGTTCAGTTACCTTTGCTTTCTTGGGTACAGGGGCAATGGTGGCCATCTTGAAGCATGTGGGGACAGCAGACTGGGATAGGGAGAGATTGAATATGTCCATAAACATACCAGCCTGCTGGTCTGCGCATGCTCTGAGGACGCGGCTAGGGATGTCATCTGGGCCGGCAGCCTTGCGAGGGTTAACACACTTAAATGTCTTACTCACGTCGGCCACAGAAAAGGAGAGCCCACAGTCCTTGGTAGAAGGTCGCGTCGGTGGCATTGTATTATCCTCAAAGCGGGCGAAGAAGGTGTTTTAGCTTGTTCGGAAGCAAGAAGTCAGTGTCCGCGACATGGCTGGTTTCCCTTTTGTAGTACGTGATTGTCTATAGACCCTGCCACATACGTCTCGTGTCTGAGCCATTGAATTGCGACTCCACGTTGTCCCTATACTGACATTTTGCCTGTTTGATTGCCTTGCGGAGGGAATAACTACACTGTTTGTATTCTGCATATTCCCAGTCACTTTACCGTGGTTAATTCCCGGGGTTCGCGCTTTCAGTTTTGCGTGAATGCTGCCCATCTAGCCACGGTTTCTGGTTAGGGTAGGTTTTAATAGTCACAGTGGGTACAACATCTCCTATACACTTCCTGATAAACTCCGTCACCGTATCAGTATATCCGTCAATATTATTCTCTGAAGCTACCTGGAACATATCCCAGTACGCGTGATCAAAACAATCTTGAAGCGTGGATTCCGATTGGTCAGACCAGCGTTGAATAGTCCTTAGCACGGGTACTTCCTGTTTGAGTTTGAGTTGAGGAGCAAAATAGAGTAGTGGTCAGATTTGCCGAAAGGAGGGCGGGGCAGGGCCTTGTAGGCATCCCGGAAGTTGGAGTAGCAGTGGTCGTGTGTTTTAGCAGCACAAGTACTACAGTCGATATGTTAATAGAACTTCGGCAGCCTTTTCCTCAAATTTGCTTTGTTAAAATCCCCAGCTACAATAAATGCAGCCTCAGGATATGTGGTTTCCAGTTTGCATAAAGTCCAGTGAAGTTCTTTGAGGGCTGTCATGGTATCTGCTTGAGGGGGGATATACACGGCCGTGACTATAACCGAAGAAAATTATCTTGGGAGATAATACGGTCGGCATTTGATTGTGAGTTATTCTAGGTCGGGTGAACAAAAGGACTTGAGTTCCTGTATGTTATCACAATTACACCATGAGTCGTTAATCATAAAACATACACCTCCGCCCTTCTGCTTCCCGGAGAGATATTTATTCCTGTGTGCGCGATGAACTGAGAATACAACTGGCTGGAACGACTCAGACAGTATATTCTGAGAGAGCCATGTTTCCGTGAAACAAAGTATGTTACAATCCCTGATGTCTCTCTGGAAAGAAACTCTCACCCTGAGCTTGTCAGCTTTATTATCCAGAGACTGAACATTAGCGAGTAATATAATCGGAAGCGGTGGGTGGTGTGCACGCCTCCTAAGTCGGACTAGAAGGCCGCTCCGAGTACCTCTCCTCCGCCTGCGTTGTTTTGGGTCGGCCTCTGGAATCAGTTCAATTGACCTGGGGGGTGCAAACAAAGGATCCGCTTCGGGAAAGTCGTATTCCTGGTCGTAATGCTGGTGAGTTACTGCCGCTCTGATATCCAATAGTTCTTCCCGGCTGTATGTAATAACACAAACAATTTTGGGGGGCTAATAACTTAACAAATAATACATAAAAAAACTAAATACTGCAACGTTTCCTAAGGGCTAGACGCAAGGCAGCCCTCTCTGTCGGCACCATTTTCACTGAATGGACATTGCTCGTCCATATATTTATGTATTCTTAATTCCGTTGCTTTACTTAGATTTGTGTGTATTGGGCGTATGTTGTGAAATTGTTAGATATTACTTGTTAGATATTACTGCACTGTTGGAGCTAGACACACAAGCATTTCGCTATACCCGCAATAACATCTGCTAAACACGTGTAGGTGACCAATAAAACTTGATTTGATTTGACCTTATATCTGCAAACATTTAGGATTAGGGCGAAGGGGTAGGGAGGGTTAGGGCACTTAAACTAGCTCATACAAATACCTATATCCAAAGCAGGTCCACGTTAACCTGCTATCCACTCTTTACTCCAGGCTGTTCTGGAAGGCCCCTGGCCAAGTCGGAACCGCAGCGGTCTCTTCATGTGGGCCAAGGTTCGCAACGTAGTGCGCACCGTGGCCCAATTCAAACAGGCACTCCACCAGACGCCTGCCACGAAAGCACCCACCAATACGACAGGTGAGGTGTCAGAACACTACAGAGACAGAGAATGGTTGAGTGTCAATCACTTAGGTTGGAGTGGAATCACCGCAGTTTTTGCACCAAATGCATATTTCTTTCTACATTTTAAAAATCCATTTTAACTTTGCAATATAATGAATCTGTGCTTGATTGTAGGACAATAAACTCAATTCACAATAATACAGTATATTATACGGTACAGGGCTACTTGCTTTGTTTCTTTGCATAACTACTAAATGGTAAAGGGCAGTAGCTCCCTTTTTTAGCTTACTCACCTAAAACTATGATCTGGGACACAGGAAGTGATGTAGGCTTGTTCTCTCTCTGTAGTGGTGTCGGTGAGCGGCGACCGGCTGAGCCACGGGAGTGCAGACCCCTCCAGTGAGGTGAATGGAGATGATCACATACTGTTCGCACGCAGCCTCATCATAGGAGACGCCACGGACAACCACTACAGCACAGGTAGACTGCAGCAGCACGGGTAGACTGCAGCAGCACGGGTAGACTGCAGCAGCACGGGTAGACTGCAGCAGCACGGGTAGACTGCAGCAGCACGGGTAGACTGCAGCCTGGAGACACTGGACCAGGCCCCTCAAACAACTTTGCCTAGCTCCTAGCCCCTATCCCCTAGCTCCTAGTCCCTATCCCGTAGCTCCTAGCTCCTATCCCCTAGCTGCTAGTCCCTATCCCCTAGCTCCTATCCCCTAGCTCCTATCCCCTATCCCCTAGCCCCTAGCTGCTAGCCCCTATCCCCTAGCTGCTAGCCCCTATCCCCTAGCTGCTAGTCCCTATCCCCTAGCTCCTAGCTCCTAGCTCCTAACCCCTATCCCCTAGCTGCTAGTCCCTATCCCCTAGCCCCTAGCTGCTAGCCCCTATCCCCTAGCTCCTAGCCCCTAGCAGCTAGCCCCTATCCCCTAGCTGCTACTTGAAACCCCACCTCTTTAAGGAATACCTGGGATAGGATAAAGTAATCCTTCTACCCCCCCCTTACCCCACCCCCCCCAAAAAAAAAAAAACATTTGTAAAGTGGTTGTCCCACTGGCTATCATAAGGTGAATGCACCAATTTGTAAGTCGCTCTGGATAAGAGCGTCTGCTAAATGACAAATGTACAAATGTAATGCTAACCCCTATCCCCTAGCTGCTAGCCCCTATCCCCTAGCTGCTAGCCCCTATCCCCTAGCCGCTAGCCCCAAGCTGCTAGCCCCAAGCTGCTAGCCCCTAGCTGCTAGCCCCTATTCCCCTAGCTGCTAGCCCCTATCCCCTAGCTGCTAGCCCCTATCCCCTAGCTGATATCCCCTAGCTGCTAGCCCCTATCCCCTAGCTGCTCGCTCCTATCCCCTAGCTGCTAGCCCCTATCCCCTAGCTGCTAGCCCCTATCCCCTAGCTGCTCGCTCCTATCCCCTAGCTGCTAGCCCCTAGCTGCTAGCCCCTATCCCCTAGCTGCTAGCCCCTATCCCCTAGCTGCTAGCCCCTATCCCCTAGCTGCTCGCCCCTATCCCCTAGCTGCTAGCCCCTATCCCCTAGCTGCTCGCTCCTAGCCCTTAGCTGCTCGCCCTTATCCCCTAGCTGCTCGCCCCTATCCCCTAGCTGCTCGCCCCTATCCCCTAGCTGCTCGCCCTTATCCCCTAGCTGCTAGCCCCTATCCCCTAGCTGCTAGCCCCTAGCTGCTAGCCCATATCCCCTAGCTGCTCGCCCTTATCCCCTAGCTGCTAGCCCCTATCCCCTAGCTGCTAGCCCCAAGCTGCTAGCCCCCAACCCCTTAGATATTCACAGATCTGAACGGACTGGGTAGATGAAAACAATATGTTTGTGTCCCACAGGAGGTCAGTCTGACCAGGGCTACGGCTCTAAAGATGAGTTGCATCAGGAGCTAGTGGATTTGGCTCAATCAGCAGCCCCTCTCATCGATGTGGATCACTGCAGCAAGCCCAAAGCACAGCACAACGGTAACCAACACCGGCATCTCCAGAATATCAACTCCAGTCTAATATAGAAGAGCTCATCTGCTGGTTGAGCATGCATTTTTATTCAGGATTTTCTATTAGCAAAAATTTATTTAAAAAAACGTTCTTCAATTGATTTGGGATCATGTCTCTTCATGTGGGGACATAGCTGGCTCGGTGGACAGTGTAGTGGTTGTAGCGGAGCCCCACAGCCCTGTTGAAGCCCTCCCACATGTCCCCAGCATTGTCAAGCTGTCCACAGGAGGGAGCTTCGATACCGCCATGAAGAGAGGGGACACCGGTAAGTGACAGGAGCAGACTCAAACCTATAAACCTAATCTCAATCTGAGGTTGACACATTTGATATTAAGGGTAACATGTCTGCAATATCACTGAACTCTGGGGGGCGGGACAATATGTCAAATGTTATAGTTATTTGGGGAAACTTCCGGACAGAAAACGTCCCCCAGAATTGAAGGCATGCTTCTGTGTTCATCTCTACCACCAGCCCCAGGAAAGCTGTTCTCTCTGCACAGCCAGAGCGAGGACGTCTCTCTGCCGGAGGAGAGTGAGTCTGCAGCCCCGGGTGGCTCCGGGGAGGTGGGGTCTGCGGTCCAGGGGCAGGGCCAGCGCCAGAAGGCCTTCTCGGAGCGCAGCTGCAGCTTCAGCGCCGAGAGTCGTGCCGGCATGCTGATGGAGAAACATGGCGTGGACCACATCGCGAGACACATGGGTGCCGATGCCCGAATCCTCGCCGCTGCCCTTTCTGGGTGTGGCACCACCCCCCCGCCTACAAATCCGCCATCCAAGGCCCTTTTTAAGGAGTTGGAGTCTGAGGAGGGGCGTGGTCCGATGCTGAGGAAACTGTCAGAGGAGGGGCCTGTAATGGACCCAACCCCACTGGAGGAGGGGCTAGGGAAAGAGGAGAAGAGAATGGATGGGGAGGAGGCTTCAGGGGAGGGTGAGATGGGACTGAAGTTGGAGGAGGAGGAAGAAGAGGAAGGAGATTCAGGGGGGAGGGGTGCTAGCTCTCTGCCAACCCTGGAGATGAAGGAGGTGGAGATGGGGGCTGATCCCCTCTCCCTGCTGGTCTCGGAGCACGAAGAGTTGGCCTCCGTAACCAGCCAGGAGCTGCCGCACTCTCTGCCCACCATGGTGTCCCGAAACCTGGCAGACGAGATTGAGATGTACATGAGCCTGCGAAGCCCACTGGGCCCCAAGTCCTCCAGCATGGAGCTCCAACAGGGGTTCCAGGGAGCGGACTCTTCCCCGGACACTGCCCCAGTTAAGCAACCTATAGAACGGAGGTCCAGTCTCCCTGTGCCCCCCGTCAAACATCCAGGGGGGTCAAGCGGGGACTCGACGCCCAAACGCAGCCCTGCTGCCGTCACGCGCTCCAAGACCTTTGCCGTTAAGGCCACCAGGAGCCCCGCCTCTTCCAGCGGCGTTGTAGCCAGCCCGAGGTCGTCGCTGACGGCGCTGGTGAGGTCATCGCAGAGCGGCTCGCTGGGCTCGGTCATCAACTCCATCTCAGGCATGAAGATGGATGCCCTGCTCTCTGGTCCCAAGATGGACGTGTTAAAGTCGGGCATGAAGCAGGCCGGGAACCTGGCCAGCAAGGTGTGGGGGAGCCGTGGCCTCCGCCTACTCCTACTCCGACGACGAGGTGAGCGGGGGTGGACTGCAGAACATACATACATAGATGAACTAAGAAATAACAGTAAAATGGTAATTAATTACACAATAATAACCTGCAACAGCCGGATGATATAGATACCACACTGTCAAACACCATTATATACAGACAAATAATGGAAGCCTTTCACTATACAAGCAGAGCTTCTCATTTCAGTTTCACCTCGCAAATCAAATTGCAGAATGCATTCAGTGTTGTACATGGGAGTAATATGAAGATTCACAATAGTTTAGAAGTTTACATTTTTTCTTATTTCCCCCCTCTCCGCAGGATGAGCTTGCCCCGGGCTACAGGGATAGGGATAGTTTCCCTGCCGGGCTGGATGAGTCCATGCTGTCAGGGGGTGGAGGAGGAGACAGTCCCACCCACAGAGGGCCAACCCAAGGCCTGGTGTCCAACGGACTGACACAGAGCAGCACCAGCCTGGCCAGCAGCAGTAGCAGCAGTGACACAGGGAGAAGACCTCACTCCACACGTAAGACACACACACACACACACACACACACACCTGTGTACGTGCCCACAGTCACAGCGTTACCCGTGTACGCAGTCAAACACAGTAAAAAGATGTGGACGGGTGTATGGTTGAAAACTGAGTGTAGAAGTGTGTGACTGTATACTCTGTGTGTGTGTGTGAAGAAGTGGCTCCAGGAAGACCAGGGAGAGGTCCAGACTCTGATCAAGGCTCCCACCACGCCAGCTCCTCTAGTATCTACCAGAACTGTGCCATAGAGGTGAGAATATCATACTCACAATTACTGGCTACACTACTCAATATACTGTCTCACAAAGACCCAGTCAAAGACTGAGTACAAATGCTTTAATAACCTGACAGTACATACATAGGAGCTATAGACTCATTATGGACTGTGACATCTTGATATCCGTAACAGGAGTTTGCTGTTGTTATCTAGCCAGGGAGCCTCAAGTAGCCTATGCCAGGTGCATCTGTAATGCTTCTGCGTGTGCGTGTGTGTGTGTGTGTGTCCGCGTGTCCCTAGGTGCTGATGTCCAGTTGCTCTCAGTGTCGGTCGTGTGAGTGTCTGGTGTACGACGAGGAGATCATGGCGGGCTGGACGGCAGACGACTCTAACCTCAACACCACCTGTCCCTTCTGCCGCACCTCCTTCCTGCCCATGCTCCACGTCGAGTTCCACGACCTGCGCACAAACCCAGGGTGGGTGTCTGTGGATTTGTCGATCATTGAATAGATCCATTTAATAGTATATTTAAATAAATAGGATGAATACTTTTTCCTGTTGTAAAGGCCCACTATGAGGTTGGAATAATACTGTGAAAATAATTATAATGCCCTTTTAATTGTTTGAAAAGACTGACATTTCTGCCTGTTTTGGTGGGATGGAGTTTTGGCCTGCTTGGTGACATCACCAGGCGGTAAATTAGTTAATAGCCCAATAAGAAAGAGTTCCAAACCTCTCTGCCGATAACAGCTAGTTTTCAGTTTCCCACTCAGACCACTCCTAGACAGGCCTAGCAAAATTCTTACTCTTTGCTAAGACACTATTTTTGTTTCTTTTTAACCATTTTAATTTAAAACAATCACAGTAAGGTACTTAATTGTTGAAACATTTGGACCACATGGTTCCCATTTTGCCTGGTGCAAATCAAACACTGCATTCCACAGTAAGAACCTTATACCAACGGTCAAGCATGGTGGTGGTAGTGTGATGGTTTGGGGATGCTTTGCTGCCTCAGGACCTGGACGACTTACCTTTATAGAAGGTACCATGAATTCTGCTCTGTTTCAGAGAATTCTATAGGACAATGTCTGGCCATCTGTCTGTGAGCTGAAGCGCTGCTGGGTCATGCAGCAAGACAATGATCCAAAACACACAATCCAGTCTACATGAAAATGGCTAAAAAGAAACAAATTAGAAATTTTGGAATGGCCTAGTCAAAGACCAGACCTAATCCCAATTGAGATGTTGTGGCAGGACTTGAAACTAGTAGTTCATGCTTGAAAACTCCCAAATGTTGCTGAGTTAAAGCAGTTCTGCATGGAAGAGTGGGCCAAAATTCCTCCACAGCAACGATAGAGACTGATCAACAACTACAGGAAGTGTTTGGTTGGAGTCATTGCAGCTAAAGGTGGCACAACCAGTTATTGAGTGTAAGGGGGCAATTACTTTTTCACACAGGGGCATTGGGTGTTCCATAACTTTGTTTATGAAATAAATGTAATAAGTATGTAATTGTTGTTATTTGTTCCCTTTATATAATATTAGGTTTTGGTTGAAGATCTGATAACATTCAGTATTAAAATATGCAAAAATAGAGACAATTAGAGAGGGGGCAAATACTTTTTCACAGCACTGTATATGGCTGGATAGTTGTGTATGTGGCTGGATAGTTGTGTATGTGGCTGGATAGTTGTGTATGTGGCTGGATGGTTGTGTATGCTCTATTCTGTTTCATAGTATTGATCTCCTCTCCAGGTTCTACCTGAAGCCCAGTGCATCAGGAGACAGTATCCACAGCGACCAACCCACAACTACAGGCTCCACCGAGCACAAGGTGGGGGGTGCAGCAGACACCCCGCGCCCGGATCTCATCAGCTTCCCAGAATCCTCCTCTGAGGACCCAGGGGAGGCCCCGGCCAGCCAAACCGCCACTCACAAGAGGTCTGTTCACAGAAATGCCTGACTCAAAAAATATTATTTAACCATCATATCACTTTTCATTCTTCATCTGATTTGGTGTCTTGTATTCAGAAAATTAAAGGGTTAATACAGTTTAGCGTGAATGACTTAGTGACGATACTAACACAGATAGAACAAGGAGCCAGATGTTTCACCGGATGTATAAATCTGGTGAGGAGAGGAAGCCCAGTGGCCGGCAGTGAGGAAGTATCGAGCTAGATGGAACTGGGCTTACATTCTGCAGATTTCAATAGCCCGATCTGAAGCCCGATCTCAATACAGTTTTCTCCTCCCAAAACTAGAATCTGTTACGAACAGAGTGCATTACGTTTTGTAGACGTGACCCTTTGCCAAAGTTTCCAAAAAAATGGCGTTGTTCACTTCACAGAGAAGATGAACCCTAACGGAAATATTCAAATGCATGTTAGAATGCGCCAATAGTATCTAGCTTGTGCTTGGCTCTGCCCACTTTTCTTGTTCTGCCCCCTATGCTTCATTTGCTCCCATTGAAAAGACACACATGAACTATCTTGGGTTATAAATATATTTGATACTATTATAAGGGCCATCACCCTAATGATGCTAACTTCTTCCTCCTGTAAATTGAACTGTCAGAGCCAAAACATCACAAGCTGACGACTTGACTCACTCTTGCTGTAAATGTTTCTGCTGTTAAAGTTCCTATGTTTCTGTATTTGCCCTCACCTCTGTACGTTTGTCAGTTTGGTACCGGAACCGGCTCAGTCGGACCCTCTGGGCCTGCTGGAACAGCAGGCAGGGAAGCGGGGGACGTCTCTGACGCGCAGTAACAGCGTGGGCGGGCCTCTACAGAGCCTGGTCTCTGTCCAGAGACAACCCGAACACAGCGTGTCCACCACCAGCCTGCCCTGCAGCCTGACAGAGGTGGTGAGTGTCCTTAGAATGTTTTCATAATGTACCAATAATGTCCTCACAATGTCCCAGTAATGTCCTCGCAATCCTTACCACTTACAGCGCACCAGGGCTTGAGTCAATTACATTTCAGTTAAGTCAATTCAGGGTATTAATTGAAATTCATCTTATGAATCGAAAATGACTATTTCTATATGTGGACTTTCATTGAAATGTAATTTACCGGTACTCTAGAAGTGCAGCATGCATACTGGCCATGCATTTACAGTACATTCAGAAAGTATTCAGACCCCTTGACTTTTTCCACATTTTGTTATGTTAAAGCCTTATTGTAAAATTGATTAAATGGAGAGAAAAAAATCTCAACAATCTACACATAATACCTCATAATGGCAAAGCGAAAACAGGTTTTTAGAAATTTTAGCTAATAGATTCAAAAAACAGAAATACCTTATTTACATAATTATTCAGACCCTTTGCTATGAGACTCAAAATTGAGCTTAGGTGCTTCCTGTTTCCATTGATCATCCTTGATGTTTCTACAACTTGATTGGACTCCACCTGTGGTAAGTTCAATTGATTGGACGTGATTTGGAAAGGCACACACCTGTCTATATAAGGTCCCACAGTTGACAGTGCATGTCAGTGCAAAAACCAAGCCATGAGGTCAACGGAATTGTATGTAGAGCTTTGAGACATGATTGGGTCGAGGCACAGATCTGGAGAAGGGTACCAAAACATTTCTGCAGCATTGAAGGTCCCCAAGAACACAGTGGCCTCCATCATTCTTAAATGGAAGAAGTTTGGAACCACCAAGATTCTTCCTAGAGCTGGCTGCCCGGCCAAACTGAGCAATCGGGGGAGATGGGCCTTGGTCAGGAAGGTGACCAAGAATCTGATGGTCACTCTGACAGAGCTCAAGAGTTCCTGTGGAAATGGGAGAACCTTCCAGAAGGACAACCATCTCTGCAGCACTCCAGCAATCAGGCCTTTATGGTAGAGTGGCCAGACGGAAGCCACTCCTCAGTAAAAGGCACAACAGCCCGCTTGGAGTTTGTCAAAAGGCACCTAAAGGACCATGAGAAACAAGATTATCTGGTCTGATGAAACCAAGATTGAACTCTTTGGCCTGAATACCAAGTGTCACGTCTGGAGGAATCCTGGCACCATCCCTACGGTGAAGCATGGTGGTGGCAGCATCATGCTGTGGGGATGTTTTTCAGTGACAGGGAGACTAGTCAGGATCGAATGGAAAGATGAACGGAGCAAAGTACAGAGAGATCCTTGATGAAAACATGCTCCAGAGCGCTCAGGACCTCAGACAGGGGCGAAGGTTCACCTTCCAACAAAAGTTATTGTGTGGATGGTCAGAAGGAGTTACGCAACTGCTTAAAGCCCTGTGTGTGTGTGTGTGTGTGTGTATCAGGATGGCCTGGGACAAAAGCGTCCCAACCCCATGCCAGTGTCTGTGCCCTACCTCAGTCCCCTGGTCCTCCGCAAAGAACTGGAGACCCTACTGGAGAATGAGGGAGACCAGGTAACGCACATTTAACAGATCTAAGAATATGTTCAGAAAGAAGCAATATTTCGACTAGACAGGACAGCAAAATAGAACCCATAGATTGTCACATATAATATGACTTATTGTATGTGGCAATACTGTCAAGATGTAGCTATTGTATGTGGCCCATTTCCATTGCAGTCATTTAGCAGATGAAATTGTCATTTTTCAAACTTACTTTTGCTGTTTCCATCATCCTAGTGACTTTACAGATGTTAACAATAAGCTGCAGTACCCCTTTTTGAGCACTGTTTAATTCGCAATCAGGTGATCTACACCCATAAGTTCCTGAGTCAGCACCCCATCATCTTCTGGAACCTGGTGTTTTATTTCTGTCGCCTGGACCTTCCCAGCTACTTGCCTGGCCTCATCCTCACCTCAGAACACTGCAACAATGGCGTACAGGTACATGGCCATGCAGGGAACACACACACACACAGACTACTCCTGTTCACCTGAAAGTACTGCAACAATAGACTACAGGTCAATCTGACACAGATAATCACACGCAGTTTACGAACATTGCTCTCTCTAGTTATGATCACGCCAGAGCACTGTTAAAGTAGGGCAACAGAATATGTTTGTCTGTATTCTTCATACAGCTCCCACAGACCTCCCTGTCCCAGGACAGTAAACAGGTGTATGTGCAGCTGCTGTGGGACAACATCAACCTGCACCAGGAGCCTGGCGATCCCCTCTACCAGAGCTGGAGGACCCTGCGTGAGTACACACACGCGCACACATGTCTGATCAAGCAATCATCCTCAGAACACTGCATTGTCTCTCTGGGTCTCTCTGTGTGTGTGTGTGTAATGTATTTTGGGCCATATTCGTTAATGGAAAGCACTTTGAGATGTCTGCTATTAAAAAGATCCATACCCATGGCACACATTATTCTAATGTATTGAATAGTGAATGTAATGAGTAATGAACTATCTGTTGTTCCCCAGTGGAGAAGAAGGCTACCCTGGCCCCCACGGACCACCAGGAGACACGGACCCTCCTCAACAGCATCGTCCGCAGCATCCAGACCAACGACGTATACGGCCCCATCAACCTGCTCCTCCGAGAGGTCAAGAGGCACCCAGAGGTCAAACGCCAAAGGTCTGTCCTCTGAAGCTTATGTTTTTGGGTGATCCGTTTTGTGAGCTGAAAGCATTGCATTTGTCCATGTTCTCTGTTGGTGTCTGTCTGTACTGTTTTGGTCTTTTCATTAATCAATCGATCTGTCTCTTATCAGGGGTATCTATAGGGAGATCCTCTTCCTGGCGCTTGTGGCATTGGGAAGGGAGAACATTGACGTCGGTGAGTGAACTGTCTTCATGACCCAATGACTCTCTTTAAACCAAGACTTGGATTTGGGTAATTCCAGTCAACCAATGCCTTGTTGAGATGGCTATAGTTACCACAACTACTATGAGCTTTTCTATCCTGAGTTTGATAAGCTATTTGTATAAAAAACCTTCGAATTCTATTTCCATGTTTCTATCATGTTCTGATTCTATATTCTTCCCTCCTGTGTTTCCAACAGAGGCCTTTGACCGTGAATACTGCCAGGCCTTTGATAAACTGAGCCCAGAGCAGCTTAAGGCCCTGCACAAGATCGACCGGCCACCCAACAGCAACGTCCAGTGGTGCCTCAAGTGCTTCGGAGCTCCAGTCATCTAATCTTGCCACTGCTGCCCTCTGCTGGACGGTCTGAGAAACGCTCCACCTGTGGCCCTCACTCCACACTGTGGAGAGAAGCAGAGAGAGAGAGCAGACAGAGAAAGGGGGGAAGAAACTTGATGGGTAGTGGTGGGTCTTGGTGTAAGGGAGAATCTTGGACAGATCATTTTTACACCCTCATATCGCCCAAAGATGGTACTTATTTATCCCTTTGCCCGAAAGGCCCTTTTGTTGATGTTTTTTCTCCTGCCTCTCGCAGCTTTTCCCGCGGGCCGCTTGTAACTCAAATAGTTATTTATGTGAATATTCTGGAGGGTGAGGAAGAGGGAGACAGAATTGTTCTTTATGAAATGGTGTGTTTCTTTATTGATGGTGTAGAGAGAATTAAGGCCTTTTGCGATCGATTGTGTGTGTGTCTCACTGCCCAGTCCTGGGTGGCCTTGCTCCAGCTCTGTCCTACTGCCCTGTAGCCCCAGGGTGAACTCTACACCCCTGATTCTAGAACCACCTTGTAGTAACCTAGGAGGCCATTCACCCATGTACAGAATACTGGTCATCCTGTTTATTGATGTGCACTTTTAGAAACTGTCGTTTAACCAATCCATTGATTGTCTTTTTTTATATATTTTTGTACATGGGGGAAATTTGAAAACCGGGATTGCCTTTTTTTCAAAACGAGGAAGAATATTGATGCCTTGATGATTTCTCCAGATTCAGTCTTAACAACTAATGTTATTGTCATTGTGGGTGTTTGTCTCTCGATGCAATTTATTTTTGAGAAGTATGTTTCTCTTGTTTGTGTGTAAATAAGTGTTGGATGAGGGTGGATTGAGGCCACCGCAGACAGTCAGTCAAGATCAGTTCGAGAACATTCCAGAACCCTGCACTTGTGTCTTAAAACAAAAGCAAGAACAATATTATATATTGACATCCCAATAGCAGAGAGATAGCATAATCAAAAACCTTGAATGTTCCAGACATTTTGGGGCTAGACATCAAACGTAAGCGTGAATTGGAAGGGAACTGAGATGCCAAACCACTGAAGTGCAGCTCTTTCCTTCTCCCTCCATCGCTCCATGCCTTAAGCAAGACACAAGAGCTGTTCTCTCACAGGAAAATAAACCATGGTGAGTTACTGTGGTACCGCAGGAGTAGTGACCAGTCAGTCAGTCCATTGTGTAATGTTTTTAACGATTTCATTTTTAACTGCAACATACAGTACAGTTAAAACGATTATGGTAAAATATGCATTTATGTGATTAAAAATCTGCTTGTGTACATGCTTGGGTTACTCCTTAATCATAAACCATAATATATTGATTAGTATATCTCCCTTGGAATGCATCATGAAGCATTGTAGTTGAGGCAAATACTGTTTGCTTTGGACAAGCTAGCTTTTAAGGTTTACATATTAGTGTGGTCTGCCTTAATTCATTTTGTCATGTCTCTTGTTTTCTATTGATTGTGAATGGAATATCAACTTTGACAATGAAGAGTGGAAGAGACTTTACACAGAATTTAAAGGACTCATTAAAACCAACGTGGTATAGTGTATTCAAACAGGAGAGATGTGCTGGTCCTAGATCAGCACTCTTAAGACGCTTTAAGAATACGGACCCAAATTACATTCCAGAAAGTATCATAACTCCTACAACGGCTCTACACACCAAGTTGTAAGACAATTGGTGAATATACAGATGTGTGAATATTCTGTTAATTGGTCAGAATGCACTGCTTCGATTAGTACATGACTTAACCGCAATCGGTATCCTCTGTTCCAACATGTTTAAAGGTTTAAACATCATAAATTACCACCGCTGAACATTTAATTTACCATTTCTTTCCAAAACAATGGGATGAGAATCTAAAACCTACAGGAAACCTTAAATAAACCTAATTCCAACTATTTATTATTATGATATGGTAACATATGGACTACAGAACATGTATCAATCCAATCACACAATGGTGTTATGGGTTTGACTAACTTCTCCTTATACCGAAGTGATTCCACCATATGTGGCATTGTACATTTGAGCGTTTCCTGTTGGCTAAGAGCTTATGATGATGTGCTCGCCAGAGGCTGTACAGAAAAGACTGTTCTATACAAAATGGTTAAATGGACCCTCGACCGTCCTGTGGAATGGATGTGAATGTCTATACACTATTGTGCCGCAATGAATGAGTTGTGACCTGATTCAAAACAAACCCTGCATCTAGTGATTTATTTGCAGTAGTCACTGCATGGGTTTGGAGAAAATTACTAACCCACTCTTCAACATGGCATTAAGAGAGTACATCTTGCCACCAAAACACCAACACAATTCTGGAAAAATAACTTTAGAATTTATTATTTTAAAATACTAACAATTATGTTTAAGAAAAAGAATACAAATATATACTGAACAAAAATATAAATGCAGCATGCAACAACTTCAAAGATTTTACTGAGTTACAGTTCATAAGGAAATCAGTCAATTGAAATAAATTAATCAGGCCCTAAGCCTAAAGATTTTAGTGGCCTTTTATTTTCCCCAGCACAAGGTGCACGTGTGTAATGATCATGCTGTTTAATCAGCTTCTTGATATGACACACCTGTCAGGTGGATGGATTATCATGGCAAAGGAGAAATGCTCACTAACAGGGATGTAAACAAATTTGAGCACACAATTTGAGAGAAATAAGCTTTTTGTGCTTTTTCAGCTCATGAAACATGGGACCAACACTTTACAAGTTGTGTTTATATTTTTGTTCAGTGTAGATGTAAAACCAATTCCTTTTGAATACACACACAGGAATGCACATTGGCAATTATCATCATAGCCCTTTGCAATAGCCAATAAATGATACAAGATGCAAAAACACCAATACATGAGTACAAGGTAAATCAAGTAATGTACAAGATCATAAACTTTATTGGTATATCTGTAGGGGTCCTCTAAGTGCTCCCACTGTACTGTGGTTGGGACCAAGACCTTTGTCAATATATACAGGAAGTGGGCTGAGATAGAATAATAATATAATATAATATGCCATTTAGCAGACGCTTTTATCCAAAGCGACTTACAGTCATGCGTGCATACATTTTTTGTGTATGGGTGGTCCCGGGGATCGAACCCACTACCTTGGCGTTACAAGCGCCGTGCTCTACCAGCTGAGCATATCTGATTATGACCGCAAGAAAAACATCTTCAAAGCTTATTTTTCTAGTTTATCTACGTCTTTATCTCTCCTACTTCCTGTCTCACTACCCCCATACGTTTATTTTCGTGGTCTTTCGTGTGAAAGCCATCAGCACTGTAAAGTACAAAATAACACCTACAGTTTTTTAAGTGCTTGCTTTGCAGGTCGGCTAACCTACTCCTAACCTATGAACAGATGCCGCCCAATGCAGGGAAAACACTTGGGCTGTTTGGAAAGCTTTTTCTGAACCATTGTCTTGTTCGCACATACAGATAGTGATCAAACAAAAAAACATAGTCTTCTAGAAGAGTGTTTCTGATATATGCAAAAGGGGTATCATCAACATACTTAAGTGTTGTCTAAAGCAACCTAAATCATGTCTCACTCCAAGGTAAGAATCCATCAGTATATTTCGTCACAGTGACACACCCAACTACACCAAAGCCACCAAACTTTGGAATAACCTTTGACCTGTGTCAAACCAAACACTGTGTAATCTACTGTTCACCATCTCCTCTTCCTTGACCCTTCCCCTGATTTAAACCCATATAAATAAAAGTACAGTATTATTATTTTTTAAATATATATTTAGTGTTTTAAAGTTTTACATCCTATATGCAACCGTACTATTTTTTGTCTAATCCTGACTCTTCTTCTATTCTACATAAGATGAGATCTACCTTTTCAAAATGTATTTCTAGAAACTGTAAAGCTAAATCTGTTACCAGTATCCTAAAGTTTACAATCTAATAAAATAGAAAATACATCTAAATGGGGGTATGCTGCAAAACAGTGCTTTAGCTAGTTCAGTCCCTGAGAAACGGTTTATTGCTCCCTGAGGCCCATTGGCACATGCAGTTTGTGTAAGATGGACATAAGTGGAACCAGCTTATCTCCTGATGCAGACCCACACACACACACATAGACGAGCGCACGCACGCACGCACGCACGCACGCACGCACGCACACACACAGTAGTAACAGATAGACTTGCCGCCCACACTGGCAACACCCACCTCCCTGCTGTTCAGAGAACTGTGGCACCAAATACATTTTTCATCAGCCAGTTAATAGAAAACAGATTTAGTGATTTGTTAGCAAGCTAGTAATTAAGCCTTTTATCAACTTCTATTGGGAAGTTTGAGTTGGCATAAAAAGTTTATTTCAGTATCTACCATATATCATTTTTTCATGTAGGACAAGTTTGCCTGTCTGTGGTCAGAGTATTCCTAAAACTATGGAGCATAGCTGCATCTTTGAATTGAATTAACCTTAAAGGGGCAATCAGCAGTTGCTACATACATTTTTGGACTTCTAAAACTAATGATATGTTCCCATTGATTCTTAAAGAATATAACGTGTTAATGCCTCATGAGCTCAGTTCAACCATCAGAACCCAAAATAGAAGCTTGTTTTACTCCAATGTTTGTAAACAAAGTAAATGTAAATAAACCCTTATATAGCCTCAAAATATGGTTAAAACTATAATTTTGTTATCATGCATGGTCAGTCGTTGCATCCATGGCTCTGTATATGAATTTGAGAGTGGTTACATTTCTCCAGCCCCATCCCTCAGCTGTTTACCGAAACAGTGGCGGGGACTCCGCTTTGTTATTGTTTCAACTATTGATTTGCCCTGTAATGATCAGCTTCTGTCAGGCTGAGTCTAGTGAATGATCCCCCTCTATTGCCACTTTTACATATTTACAGCAAAAAGCAGTGATGAGTGTATTGCTTTGGAAATGCATTAACTGATTGATTGAGTAGTCTGTTCATAACATTTGATTTGGTTAGACTGCTTAAGGGTGGCCTCGGCCGCCTGCCCAACTGTAAACTATTTAATATTGTAAAAAAAAAAAAAAAGTTAATTGAGCAGCTTTTGTTCTTAAAGTAGTTATCTATTGTGGAGCAATGTAAAACTAAAACATTTAAAACAACAATCGAGGCATTGCATGTAAAGTGCTTGTTGACCCTTACTATAATGCCACAGTTGAAGAAGCCGGATGTGGAGGTACAGGGCTGCCGTGGTTACACATGGTCTGTGGTTGTGAGGCCGGTTGGATGTACTGCCAAATTCTCTAAAACAATGTTGGAGGGGGCTTATGGTAGAGAAATGAACAATACATTCTCTGGCAATAGCTCTGTTGGACATGAATGCAGACAGCATGCCAATTGCTCGCTCCCTCAAAACTTGAGACATCTGTGGCATTGTGTTGTGTGACAAAACTGCACATTTTAGAGTGGCCTTTTATTGTTCCCAGCACAAGGTGCACCTGTGTAATGATCATGATGTTTAATCTGAATATTGATATGCAACACCTGTCAGGTGGATGGGTTATCTTGGCAAAGGAGAAATGCTCACTAACAGGGATGTAAACACATTTGTGCACAAAATTTAAGAGAAATAAGCTTTCAGCTCATGAAAAATGGGACCAACACTTTACATGTTGCGTTTATATTTTTGTTCAGTATATATTCTGATTAGGTGATCTGAACAACGTATGGAATCAATGGTGCTGCAAAAAAATATTTCAGTCTCTTAAACAAAATTATACGGTATAAAACATGTGATCATACTTTTACATCAGCAGCAACTGAAAATCTCAGAGTGCTTTTTAATTCCAAAACCGAACAAGGGAACAATGTTCTACTCAGCCCCTATTGCAGAGACCGTGACTATAACAATGCTTGTCAAATGGAGTGTGCCATTCCAGAGGTTGTCTGTGTGATACCTAATTGCTTTCACAAAGTTCTGATGGCTCCTGGAGTTCTAACAACCCAATTAGTGAGCGACCCGCCTTTCTGTCCTTCTAAGGCATGAGATTTAGGCTTTAGCATTTCCCATCATTCTGGGATATGATAAGATTATTACACATCGGCTCATTCTGGCGCCTGTTTGAGAAGATATTTTGATCAAAGGTTTTTCTTTACAGTTTTGTGGTGGTATGCAAATCAGCTTATTAGGTGCATTAACCTACCGCTGCCTGTTTGAGATGCGTACATGTCATGTTGTTCCTTCTCCTGCTGAATTGTGTCTGGGGTATATTTCTCACAGACGACCTGGAAGGTGGCATGGAGGAGAAGAAGGAGTTGGGCAAAGCTTTTCTGGAGATGTTGCACATCAGTAAGCTGTCTGCAGCCCAGCAGGCCAAACCACACCCATACATGAGACAGGTTTACCAGCTCCTAGACACACAAGAGGCCCGAGACTTGGGCAGCTCTGATGGAACACTGGTGCAGAGTGTCCTGGGTAGGAGCCTAACTTGAAACAGTTACCATACATAAGATGTTTTCCTGACATTGATCGGTCCTCACATGGAATTTGAGAAAGATGTTTTCTGATTTGTAGCTAATTAAATTCCTGTTAGTCCTGAAAAAATGTTAGTTTGTAGTTAACTAATATCAACTGCATTACAGTATGCCATAGTTGTCCCAGGAAAATTATGTATGTGATGTTGTTAATTGATGCCCGTGTCTTGTCCCAGGAACATCATGTCTATGTTTATTGTGTGCTATGGGCTGACTTTGGATGCAATCAACTCCATTGATCAACATTGTCTATCTGGATGTTCCTTGGACCAAGCAGACCCATCACATGTCCCCCCAGGATGGCTGAGCTCGTCCTGTTCCGCAAGACCCTCCACCCCGACCCCCTCAGTGTCACAGTGGCTTTACACAGCCTGACCCGGGGGGCCTGAGCGTGAGTCTCCTCCTGGAGGAGAGGCTCCTGACCCTGGATCAGCTACCCTCGTCCGGCTAAAACGTGTTTGACGTGTCCCCCTTCATGTTTTCCTCCAAGCCTCTGGATGTGGTGGGCTTCCAGCTGCGCTACACAGATGAGAGTGGGAGCCTAGTGCTCCACGAGGCACTGACCCAGAACCTCTACTGCCTGAAGGGCAGCTCCCTCAGCGAGCCCCTGCTGGTGGTGTACCAGGCTAGGCCGCTTTGCCTCCAGACGACCACTGCCACCAACGGGCTCGGCCCTGAGCGAAGACAGCATCAGCACTGCAGCATGAGGAGGAGTGTCGAGAGGAGGGACCTCTTCCTGGCCAAACAAAACGGCTACAAGTGCCGCCGCCATGATGCCACTCCTTACCCACAGTGTCGCCTCCATCACTGTTATGTTGACTTCAACAAGGGCGATCTGGCCAACTGGATCCTACAGGGTTCAACGCTACCTTCTGCAGGTGGGAAGGTCACACAAACATAATTGTTGTAATTAGTGGTGTGCGCCAATATCGATAATTTAATACAATATCGATCGATATCGTTATGAGCGAGGCATACAGTATCACAATGTTGTTTTATGTAAGGTTGACACATCTACCCCAATCAAATTCATGTGTATTTACATTTTTTATTTAACCATTAGTTAACGACCATCATTACAATAATCTTGCCTGCAGACTGGGTAGTGAAGTGATCATCCAACTCCTAAGCTTTTATGTGTTTATAATGAGAGTGTCATCCCATTCAGAAGTACCTGCCACATTGGGAATTCAGGAGTGTCCATAGAAGGATTTAGACAGAGAAGACCAACTGAGGAGAGATCAGTCAATATGTGTGTTGTAAACTCAATATCCACTATGCATTATAGATAGCCTACTGCAGTAGCCTAGCTATATGTACAGTGAGGGAAAAAGGTATTTGATCCCTTGCTGATTTTTGTACGTTTGCCCACTGACAAAGACATGATCAGTCTATAATTTTAATGGTAGGTTTATTTGAACAGTGAGAGACAGAATAACAACAAAAAAATCCAGAAAAACGCATGTCAAAAATGTTATAAATTGATTTGCATTTTAATGAGGGAAATAAATATTTGACCCCTCTGCAAAACATGACTTAGTACTTGGTGGCAAAACCCTTGTTGGCAATCACAGAGGTCAGACGTTTCTTGTAGTTGGCCACCAGGTTTGCACACATCTCAGGAGGGATTTTGTCCCACTCCTCTTTGCAGATCTTCTCCAAGTCATTATGGTTTCGAGGCTGATGTTTGGCAACTCGAACCTTCAGCTCCCTCCACAGATTTTCTATGAGAGACTGGCTAGGCCACTCCAGGACCTTAATGTGCTTCTTCTTGAGCCACTCCTTTGTTGCCTTGGCCGTGTGTTTTGGGTCATTGTCATGCTGGAATACCCATCCACGACCCATTTTCAATGCCCTGGCTGAGGGAAGGAGGTTCTCACCCAAGATTTGACGGTACATGGCCCCGTCCATTGTCCCTATGATGCGGTGAAGTTGTCCTGTTCCCTTAGCAGAAAAACACCCCAAAAGCATAATGTTTCCACCTCCATGTTTGACGGTGGGGATGGTGTTCTTGGGTCATAGGCAGCATTCCTCCTCCTCCAAACACGGCGAGTTGAGTTGATGCCAAAGACCTCGATTTTGGTCTCATCTGACCACAACACTTTCACCCAGTTCTCCTCTGAATCATTCAGATGTTCATTGGCAAACTTCAGATGGGCCTGTATATGTGCTTTCTTGAGCAGGGGGACCTTGCGGGCGCTGCAGGATTTCAGTCCTTCACGGCGTAGTGTGTTACCAATTGTTTTCTTGGTGACTATGGTCCCAGCTGCCTTGAGATCATTGACAAGATCCTCCTGTGTAGTTCTGGGCTGATTCCTCACCGTTCTCATGATCATTGTAACTCCACAAGGTGAGATCTTGCATGGAGCCCCAGGCCGAGGGAGATTGACAGTTATTTTGTGTTTCTTCCATTTGCGAATAATCACACCAACTGTTGTCACCTTCTCACCAAGCTGCTTGGCAATGGTCTTGTAGCCCATTCCAGCCTTGTGTAGGTCTACAATCTTGTCCCTGACATCCTTGGAGAGCTCTTTGGTCTTGGTGATGGTGGAGAGTTTGGAATCTGATTGATTGATTGCTTCTGTGGACAGGTGTCTTTTATACAGGTAACACGCTGAGATTAGGAGCACTCCTTTTAAGAGTGTGCTCCTAATCTCAGCTCGTTACCTGTATAAAAGACACCTGGGAGACAGAACTCTTTCTGATTGAGAGGGGGTCAAATACTTAATTCCCTCATTAAAATGCAAATCAATTTATAACATTTTTGACATGCGTTTTTCTGGATTTTGTTGTTGTTATTCTGTCTCTCACTGTTCAACTAAACCTACCATTACAATTATAGACTGATCATGTCTTTGTCAGTGGGCAAACGTACAAAATCAGCAGGGGATCAAATACTTTTTCCCCTCACTGTAGAGATCCACTCTGTGTAGTTTCATTTCTACTATGCCTGTATTATGCTAAAGGATTGTTATAATTTGGGTTGCAAAACTCTGGTAACTTTCCCATAATTCCCAGGTTTTCCAGAAATCCCGGTTGGAGGATTCCCGGAGTTCCTGCTTAATCCCGCTTGATTCTGGGAATCATCCATCCAGGATTTACGGAAAACCTCAGAATTTTGTGTAAATTTACCAGAATTTTGTGACCTCAGTTGTAATATAATATAATATGCCATTTAGCATGTGTGCATACATTTTTGTGTATGGGTGGTCCAGGGGATCGAACCCACTACCCTGGCATTACAAGCACCATGCTCTACCAATTGAGCTACAGAGGACCACTGTAGCTCAATAATATTGTGTTTCCTTCCATTTCAGCACAAACTGTGTCCCGCTGAAGCTGTTGTCTCTCACTGTGATGTATAGGAGTGATACGGATTATGTAATCATCGGGAAGTTCAGAGATGGAAGGGCAGAGAGCTGCATGTGCCAGCCACAGGTTTAGCACTGAAAACATCTCTCCGACTCACACACACACACACATACACAGTATTTACCCATTCTAACCACTGGAGGGCGAAAATGCTTTATTGAATCTGGAGTAGGCCTATGACCAAGGAGAAAAGGATTAGGGTCACTTATCTTCCCGGCTATCAATGAACAAGAGTTGATAGACTGTAGGTTCTGGTGTGGTGGGTGAATTAAATATACACTTGAAAAACGTATCCTGTTTCCTACATGTGTTATAATCAAGAGCTTTTAGTCCATCCAATAGAAGCTTTAGAATAAATAATACATTTGATACATTACACACTTTTTTGTTGTAGGGCTTGTAATTTGAAGGCAGCAAAACAGCTGTGATGTCTGGATACAGTAGCATATAATTTACATATTTTACCTATCTGATTCTTTCAGAGCTGCATGAAGTGCTAGGAACTAATGGTGGATTTGGAATTAAGCCTTTGCAACCACAGCGCCACAGACTTGCACCCAATCCCAAATTAACCACTAGCCCTCGCCCTCTATTGACTTTTGGATGTTAACAATTTGAATAGGTTTAAGAAAATGAAAAATCCCACCATATTAGAGGGTAAAGTGGAACCATAATAATAAATGTATACACATCCAATCCTTTCTGATCTCCACAAGCACATAGGGACTAGGGGTCGAGTTGGGATTGGGCAACAAGAGGGAGGAAGTACAGCCCACTTTTTAATAGCCAAACATCTGATTATTGCAGTTGTAGTCCTTTAAAAAACGTAGCAGTAACTGTGGAGGAACGATATTACTGTTTTCCTAGCAGCAGGATATTATGATGGCGCGGATAAAAAATACAAATAAGAGTCCCTCAGCAAAGACATGATAAACTTTGGAAATGTCGATATTTTTTATCACTCTAGTGCAGTACAACTGTTTTCACAACTGTATTATTTATACCAGCATTTCTTTTTAAAGTTTACACAAATACTGGTATATTGAAAGCTATTGTGTAGGCCATATTTAAAGGAACACATTTTTAATAAAATACAAATATTTGTTATTTGGAATTACTCAATAGAGTAATATCAAACGTCTATCATACATGTCAGATTTTAATACCGGCCGATGTCATAAATCGGGAGGATGTCTTCTCTTGAATGAGCCATTGATCATATTTTTGCCATATTCCTACCTCGATAAATGTTTTATTTAACGGAGGGTCTAGCACATTTTTCTTATTTGTCTGCCTCTTTAGTCCAGGGTGCATTGCATGGTGCTATTGCCCAAGATATTATAGAAAAGAGATAGCAATTCAATGAATGAAGGAACATATAACGCCCCACCCAGCAGACTGTCGACCAATTGCGTTCACGTTGTGATGCTGCATCACGCGGTTGCTAAATTCATCATCACGCAAGCCTTCTCAAAGTCAGCATATATGTCGAGAAATGTGCCTATTTTCCTAGAAAGTACGTAATGTCACGATTCCAAAGCTATACGATACTACAGATTGCAAGTTAATTATCTCACGTCTCGGAAAAGATTTGTAATGTTGTACTACTTGTTGACGAAATTCGTGCTAATGTTGGGTTTTTGAGCTAGCGCCCAATAGACTCCCATTCACTCCTTGAAGGAGAACTCTCCTTGTCCCGGAATCGCCCAGAATGCACTGCGCGGCCTATTGACGTAGCATGGGCAACGTTTTCCATCTCCTCCAAAGTATATCTGCCGTTGCGAATGTTAGACTCTACTCCGATCTGCAGGTTGAACATTGTGAGATTGTAGACTCCTAAATTGATAGTGCAGTTTGTTTAGGCGATTTTACAGCGAACAATGTTATATGCTGATATTGTTTTTGGTATTATTGTGTGTCGCTACGTTTGCTAGCTAGCCGGCCAGCCCATAGAGAGAGCATTGCATTGTGGACTTTGTAGTTGACTGGAGCTGCAACAGATTTCCACAACGATTTTCCATTTTGCTACTAACCTTATAACACCAAAATGAACCATTTGTTCACAAAAAAATATTGTTTTCACATATTTGTGCTATTTAACACTGTAAATTAAAGGAATGAGTGGTTTTGGGTGGATTTGTCCTTTAAAGTAATCATCTCTGCTCAGGCAGTAGCAGTCAGCTAGTGTGCTCTCCATACTGTACTTACTGTCCTTAGTCATCCTAAGTATGCTGCAGAGCTGTCTGACGAAATCAGTTGACTAGTTCTTCAAAGTAGATTAGGTAGATGTTCACGAACTGTCTCTGTCCCTCTCGTCCTTGTGTTGTGTACATTCCTCTCTCATGTGGTCTGTGTGTATCTAACCCAAGGTAGCAGGTTTAAAAGTGTAGGCCTATCCGTCCAAAGATCTGTGTACAATGACGAGATGCTCATGTCTATGCCCTAACAATGGGAGTCATTGTCCCGCAGGCGACAAGCTTAGGTCCAAAATAAACCCACAGAAACACATCAGGTTTATTTTGCACAGATTTTGGCGAGTGTGAAACCTCTCGTTTTGCCTCTTCCTCTCTGAGCCGGAACAAACAAGGGCAACGGATTATGCTCATTGTAATTAATTGCCACGTTTTTGCGCAGAACTAGGTTGAATATTTGCTTAATGAAAATTGCAACACCCTTCAGCCCAGTGTTCCACAAAGTTCTTGACTTTATTCCTCTCATGAATGATTTGATTTCTCTCTAAAGAAACGGCTAGTAGAGACCATACAGAGTATTTCCCACCCTACTTTAGCTGAGACAGGTAGAAAAGTTATCTCTCTACAAGCCAATATGTATCCCATATACAGTCTATTACAGTGTATTGCATTGGGGGCTATGGAGGAGGTGGAGTGAAAAGCCAGCAGAAGGCCGTGCGACACAGTCCCTCTCCAAAACTAACCACATTTGGTTAGTAGAGACCCTACTGAGTATTTTGCACCCCACTTTAGCTGAGAAAGGTACAAAAGTTATCTGTACAGCCCAACATTCTCAACATACCAGTGTCAACACTGTATTTTTTTTTATTGGTCTTAAAAAATGTTTTTAAAACCATATTTTAAAATTTGTTTTCATAAATTACTTATGGCATTTTCTTGTTGGCACAATAAAAGTGGCCATTGATAAAAATTCAACAAAGTTATCCACCTCTTTTTCGAACGTTGCTATGGGCACTGCCAAACAATGGAAGTGATGGATTCGACTTCCGCTTTACTTCCCTACTGCAGCGCGCCTGTGGCAAACTTGCAAGAGTACATTTATAGAGTTTATAGAGTCAAGTAAACAAGTATAAGTGTAATTTTATATTTATTTCATTCATGTTCGCTAACGTTAGCTAGAACTACTAGGGCGGCAGGTAGCTTAGTGGGATAATAACGTTAGTTATGTTGTGTCAGAGTTAAGGGCCATCCACCAAGCCAATAACTATAAAACGTTGGTGAGCAGCCAGGCTAGAGGACACTAACAGTTTATCGTTCTGCAGTCTTACACCTGTCAATCAACTGATCAACGCGTCCTACTGCACACTGCCTATTGGAAGGTGGTAACACAAGACACACAAGTCAGGGTGTGTTCATTGTCAAAAGGACAACTGCAAATAATACTTAAATGTAGTGTGGTATCTGAACAATTTATGACTTTGCTGACGGTTGCAAATGGTCTTAGAGGATGTTGACTCAGCTTAAGGGAGCATCTGGAGAGCATTTCTATAGGGGCACCCTAAAACAGAGGAAGTCTGTTAGGTGGAGTCCTGGGATTGGTCTGTAGGGGAAAACACCCATATCAGGTTACATAGGATATATATACTATGGTTTGGGACAAAGGAGGGGAGAATAACATTTTAGAGATTGGGGCCGGTTATTCTCCAGATGTCTGCAGATGTCTGTAAAATAGTACAAATAAAGAAAAACCCTTGAATGAGTCGGTGTGTCCAAAACTTTTGACTGGTAGTGTATATGCCCAGGCAAAACGGTGTTTGTTAATGAATTGCTACATTTAATTACGAGTTACTATATTATTTTCATTAGGCCTACATGTAACTTAATGTAGTGTCGAGAAAACGTTGCTGAGATGCTGTGAGAACAAGGAATCCGCGGACACTGTACTTTGATTAAATGTAGCAATTCATTAACAAACACCGTTTTGCCTGGGCATATACACTACCAGTCAAAAGTTTGGACACACCGACTCATTCAAGGGTTTTTCTTTATTTGTACTATTGTTTACATTGTAGAATAATAGTGAAGACATCAAAACTATGAAATAACACATATGGAATCAATGTAGTATCCAAAAAAGTGTTAAACAAATCAAAATATATTTTATATTTAAATTCTTCAAATAGCCACCCTTTGCCATGATGACAGCTTTGCACACTTGGCATTCTCTCAACCAGCTTCATGAGATAGTCACTTGGAATGCATTACAATTAACAGATGTGCCTTGTTAAAAGTTAATCGAGCTTATTTGAGCTGTTCTTGCCATAATATGGACTTGGTCTTTTACCAAATAGGGCTATCTTCTGTATACACCCCCTACCTTCTCACAACACAACTGATTGGCTCAAACGCATTAAGAAGAAAATAAATTCCACAAATTAACTTTTAAGAAGGCACAGGTGTTGTTAAGACCGAGATGAAGTCGAGGTCCTGCAAACCTTGCCAATATATCCTCCAAACCCCAGATTATCGGGCATTATCACTTTTATGCAAGGGGTTACCAACATATTCAAATAATGATTGACATATTTTCATGAAAACTTTATTTTGATTAATTTATTAATATTATTTGGATACATCCATAACAATGAGCTAATGAGGCGCGATTTCGCTGGCATAGAAAATATGATCTCTCCTCAGGACACTGTTGTTCAGAGGCCAACAACACAGCTAACACAATCACTTCAAACACTGAAGCTGTAAAGATTGCAAACTAGCTGCACTTCGTTTCGTTCGACCTTTTTTCAATTTAAATGTATTTGTATATATCCATAAAAATGATGCCAGCTGATTCATGATTTCGACTGGCTGAGAAACGCTACC